GAAGTTCCCTCAGTTACCTCCTCACTTCGCATGGCAGTCAGAAAAGGTCTCCAAGAGCCAGATGGCAGCCGAGGAGCATTCTGCAGGCCGCCGAAACTGGCACAGATGTCTTTTACCTCAAAATGCTTACGCAGTATGTGTAAGCACAATTCGCGGGGCAGGCATGTGGTGTTAAGCAGAAGAGAGAGGTTTCCAAGATTTTCCTCATGCAAAGCAAGCTTGCTGCACGCCAGACTGAGACAGGTCTGCTGCTGAGGCAGGTCCCGCTTTGGTGTGTTTCCTTGGCGCGTAAGTTAGTTTGAGGATGGATACGGCTCACCTGAGACCGTGAAATTCTGAGCAGGAGTAGCGACTTCTACATGCGCTGCACCCCATCATAGCCACACATCACCCAGTCCGAGCATGACTTATTGCATCTTATTGCCCTGCACTTCCAGGCGGCTGCTGTTGACGCTTCTGCACAGCTCGGCCAATGTAGCTCTTATCGTCGTTTGCGCGCTGGCAAGCTCTCGAGTCGAATCGCCAGGGGGCCCAGCTGGCCCAGTTGCGAGTAACAATGTTTGGTGGGACGTCTCACGGCTCGAATGACCACACCCCAGTACACATCACAGCACGTTCGTGCTGCCATCTGCTTCCCTTTGAGAGGTCGGGGCCGAGCTACTCTCTTCTGCTGGCCGAGGGCGTGCTGGCCCAAGGCCGTGGCCACAGATATGGTAAGCATGGCCTGCCATGGCTTTACCTATGGAACTTGCAGCCAAGAATGCAAAGATGCCTGTGCATTAGTTGCATGAGTTGTTGATGGGTAGGAGTAGCATCTCACCAGAAGATCCATCACAAACAGCCTGCTTCCGCATTGCAATGAGGTGCGTTTCTTCTGGGCCTACCTGAGGCAGCACGCAACCCAGAGAAGGGGTCATGCACCTCATGTCGATGTAGGAGAAGGGTTTAGGCACGTTGTTTGCCCAGACGTGGTTTTCCTTGCGCCTTCTACAACCATAAGTGTTCTGCATCACGACTTCTGGAGACTTCTGCATTGTTTAGATGGGTTTGGGGTTTCCAGACCACCTAAGGCCAGGCTAACGTCTGCGTCCCCTCGGCGCTACTTTGAACGGCAAAAATCGGCTGGGCTTGCCAATGCCAACACATAGGGTGTGTAGGCAGTCCAGTCGATGAAGCCCAGCCGCCGAAAAGTCTTCATGTCAGGGGGGCTTTCAAAGCTATCGCTGTCATGACATGTCTCTGCCTCAACGACCCCTGCACCAGAACTCGGGCAGCATGCAATTGCTGGGCCCCCTTTGAATGAGGAGGGGGCGGGTAGTGCCCGGTGCCGTGAGCAACGAGAAAGGCTGAGAGAAGTGCTGACAGGCACAGGTACACCATGGCCGTGGCTGACAGAGAAGTAGAGCAACTACGGAGAAGCATGGAGAAGCATAGAGAAGTAGGGCAGCGGCTGTAGGGCAACTGCAGCTGGGCTCTTGTAGTGACAGCGTTCTTTGTTTGGGCTCAACAGCGGTGCGGGCAGCTGAGCTTCTTGGCGCTCGGGCAGCATGTCGAAGCTAAACATCGACAACTTGAAGAAGGGCATCGCCGGAGCCCCATGAACATGCTGAGGCAAATCCTGAGCTCCCCCTCCTTCCTGGCCCCCAATGACCCCCGGGACCCATGAGGCCGGCATCCTGGAAGGGAGCAAGGAGAAGCAGCGAAAGTTCCTCGAGACGGCTGGGGGCAGGGGGGTGTCAAGGGTCCTTCAGTGTCCCGTGCATCTGCTAAAGCTCCCATGCCCAAGTCCTCAAAGATCCGAAATTCATCTGAACCTAACTCCAAAGGCCCCAAGCTGAAGCCCTGTGGGCCGGGAGAGGTGGAACTTCAGATCGGCCTGAAGGACTACGACACCCAGCGTGACAAGCGCTTCGCAGGAGGGTTCGGGGACGCGGGTCTGGGCTGCTTTCATTGCCATGATGGCCAGTGGAGAGGCACCATCAAGCTTCCTCACGTCCCACGCCCGCGGTTGAAGGCAAGGAATGCTGAAGCAAGGACTCCGGCCCACGTTGTGAGATATCTGAGAGGCTTTCATTTCCAAAGGGAAATGTCATGAGAACCTTTTGCACAGGAGGTTGGGTCATAAAGGTGGACTCAATGTTGGAGCCTTGCACAGGTGTGCGTTCTGGGCGATGCCGTGCACTGCGAGCAGGCGCAGCGAGTCCACCGCTCAGGATGATCCAGATCACGTTGCCCGCAGGCTTGTGCACTGCCTGCAATCAGCGCAAGCTGCAACTGCAACCCATGTCAGTACTGAACGAGTTCCACCAGCAGCTTGAGCAGCCCGAGAGCGCATGGATGACATCTTGTATTGCTGACGAGTGCAGTTGCACGGGTGCCCAGGCCAACATCCCCTTCAAGAGCGTGGAGGCGTGCCAGAAGACCTCTAGCCCTCAAGTAGCCAGTAGCTCTCATGCCCATCAGCATTCTAGAGAGCGCCCCCAGCCCTCCAAATGCAAGGTTGCGCCAGACGGTTGTCTCTTCGACTGTTCAGGACCTGAAGAAGCTGAATAAGAACAAGAAGATGGTCAAGAAGCGCCACGGGAGGGAATGTTGCGTTTGCCCGCGCGCATGTCACACTTTTGTTGCAGGGTATTGGAGTTAACCGAGTTTACCGAGCTCAGCATATGACTCTCAAGTTTGAGGCTTCTAGCGTCTTAATGCTTAGGGTGCAGGGCTTGCGATGACGAACGAGCGATTCCTACTCTCAAGAGCACTTTTAGGGCTTGGTGTTGTCTCTTTATTGTTTAGGGCCTAGAGCTTGCGATGTCGAACCTGCGATTGCAATGCCCAAGGTGACTAAAACTTTGAGGGGTTTTTAGGCCTGTGAATGGCTTTGGAGGGCACTGAAAGTATTTCCGGCACCCGGCCTCCTCACAGCCTCATTTGGTGGTAAAGCTGTACATGGCATGTGTACATGCAAAACCCGTTTCCAGAGACGCCAGCCAGCATCGTGCCTGTGCATGCAAGCAAGCTGTGGTATTCCTAAGCTCTTGACATGATTGTTGAAGACAATGCACGCCGCAGCTTCCTCTGCCCCAAGTAACCAGGTAGGCTTTCAAGGCTCATGCCCCTGTCAGAGCACGGAGCCCCCCCTTTCGTGGAGACATGCATCCCCAAACTTTACGTCTCACCGAAATCGAAGCCTTTGGGTGTTTGCTTTCCTTCCAAACACCACACCCAAAGAGCTACAACCTTCCCTGATGTGCGCGCAGGCTGGCTGATAGCTTCGATGCATTCCTGGCTTCCCAAGCCGGAGACCCCAAGGGGTTTTCTAGGTCTTTGAGTCTTGACTTTCAGGGTTCATAGTTCGGGGTTCGGTAAGTTTGCCGGGGTTTCGGGCCGCATGTCGCAAGAGAATATGTCGGTTCCCTGCTGTTTGTTGGAGTTGCAAGTTGAAGCTCCATTTCCTCCCGGAGTATTGCTGTTGGGCGGACCCCATGCGGGGGGCGTACCAGTAGGCTGGTTCCTTGAGGTGCTGATCCCGCAGATTCCGCGTTTGCTGGGGCCCGGCCTCAACAAGGCTCCCGAAAGGAGAGACTTGGGCTTTTGGGGGGGGGGGGGGGGTAGTTTGGACTTGCAGATTTGGGTAGCTCAGTGTTTTGCACTTGTTCATTGCGTGCTCAGTTGCTCTGTTAGCCACGACTTGAATGGCAGCCATACCTTGGCCTCGTTTGGAGGCTGGAAAGTTCCCCACTCTCGTGCAGCACTCTGACAACCTTGAGACCAAGGTCACTGAGGTGCGAAGCCAGGCAGGAGGCCTCATCAATATGTCGGCAAAGTATATGTATGTATATATATATATATGTATTTCTTTTTTATAACTGTATACATAGATACAGCGGCCCATATTCTTCCATGGCATATATGACAATATCTGGGAACAGAATTCTAAATCTGTATGCAAGTAGCTGTCTCAGCTCTGGGTCTCCTGACAGGTCAAGTTTCAGCTGAAGAAGGTGCTCTGCATGGGCGTTGCGGTCGGCAATGTCTCCATGACTCCAGATGAGCTGAGGCAGAGACCCCGAAACTCACCTGGATTCCCTAATAGATCCCAACGGCCGGTATATCTACCACTGGATGGCACTCGCATGAAACTTCATGAAACTGGAAAGTCAGGAAGTTGCTGCAAAAGCAGTCAACATTCAACCACATCATGCTCACCACAGGCAGAACTGTCTGATGGCCATCAACTTTCTGGTGTCGCTGTTGAAGAAGAACTGGAACAATGCGCCTTGGGCACATCTTGGCACGTTCTCTCCAACTCAGCAATGCCAGCCCTGCTCCTCGGCAGGTGAAGAGACTCCATATTAAGAGCACCATGGGTAAGCCCTTCACCATCTACGGATGAGGCGATGAGATGCCCCCTTGGACAGAGTGGCTGCCCGAAAAAGAGCCTTCGGTGTCGGAGATGGGGAGTTCTGCAACCTGTTGCAGATTGTGCAGGAGTATACTTAGCATGAGGGGCCATAGGTGAGATATGGTGAGATAGTGAGTGGGATGCGGGATGCTTACGAGTAAAGCTGCGGCGCAAACTCTGAGTCGTTCAGGTCTGGAGGGCATTCTTTGGTACAGTGGCAGAAATCTGACCTTTCAGATGCAGTGTAGAAGGTTGACATTCTATGGTATGTTTGCATTGGTTGAAAGAGCGGTTCGGGCTTTGAACCTGAACCCCTGGGTCAGTGCCAGTCCAACCGGGTCTTGGCTCAAAACACGTTTCCAAGGCAACACAAACCCCGATGCCCTAGAAACAGCCTACAACTTAAACCATCTAAAGCACCCACAGAAAGTTAACATCAAGTATACCCATAGAAACCGAAACCCCGAAGCACAGTTGAAACCTAAAGTCTTCCCCCTGTGCATCCCCACATTCTTTACCGCCAATCTTTGCATCCCACACCTTGAAGCCCACAGCCTTCAAAGCATTGGGAGAAGTCGGGTGCTCTCTGCCTCTCTGCATCATGGCCACTGTGAAGCTCAGCAAGAGGATCACGGACAAGATCCGGTCTCTGAACGAGACAGGGATCTTTGCAACCGAGCTCCGCTTGGGGGGCGTCGCGCGCCATCTTTCCCAGATACCGCTTGAATCAGCCCTGGAAGTCCTCGAGGCAGCCCCAGCTGAAGCCCAACAGGACCCGACCACCTTCGTCATCTCCGCCGCTCAGGCACTGCTAGCACCCCCCGAGCCAGAGGAGCCACCCGAGCCAGCGGAGCCAGAGGATGCTGGAGAGGAGGCTCAGGATGCAGGGTATACAGAGGAGAATGCTTGGGAGACTGCCGGGGAGGATGCTGGATTTGGGGAGGATTCAGGCGAAGCCGTGGCAGAAGACAACGATGCCGACTGGCAAGACTGGCATGAGGGCGGCGAGCCCGAGGAGGATGAGCTGGAAGCCCCTGAGCTTCTGCCATCGGTCAGTCAAAGAATCCTCCGGCTGAACAAGTCCGGCAAGCCCCTCGTCAGGAGCTGGATTGGATGTCTTTCGTCTTCCGTCTTCGCCGAATAGTGGTTCGTGAAAGTTGCTCTCTCTCTCTCTCTCATCCCGCAACGCCGAGGTTGTGCTCGGCGATTGATGTGCAAAAAGTAGGCCGTAATCTGAACCGGCTCTCCGAACCGATCGCGATGCAGCTGCTCAAGGTGGAGTCGGGCTCGCATGTGTAGTTTGCATTTCTCTTTTTCTCTTTTGCTATCTTTCTCTGTTTCTCTCTTTCTCTCCTCTTTCTCTACTCTTTCTCTCCTTCTCTCCTTCTCTCCTTCTCTCCTTCTCTCCTTCTCTCCTTCTCTCCTTCTCTCCTTCTCTCCTTCTCTCCTTCTCTCCTTCTCTCCTTCTCTCCTTCTCTCCTTCTCTCCTTCTCTCCTTCTCTCCTTCTCTCCTTCTCTCCTTCTCTCCTTCCCTCCTTCTCTCCTTCTCTCCTTCTCTCCTTCTCTCCTTCTCTCCTTCTCTCCTTCTCTCCTTCTCTCCTTCTCTCCTTCTCTCCTTCTCTCCTTCTCTCCATCTCTCCTTCTCTCCTTCTCTCCTTCTCTCCTTCTCTCCTTCTCTCCTTCTCTCCTTCTCTCCTTCTCTCCTTCTCTCCTTCTCTCCTTCTCTCATTCTCTCCTTCTCTCCTTCTCTCCTTCTCTCCTTCTCTCCTTCTCTCCTTCTCTCCTTCTCTCCTTCTCTCCTTCTCTCCTTCTCTCCTTCTCTCCTTCTCTCCTTCTCTCCTTCTCTCCTTCTCTCCTTCTCTCCTTCTCTCCTTCTCTCTTTCTCTCCTTCTCTCCTTCTCTCCTTCTCTCCTTCTCTCCTTCTCTCCTTCTCTCCTTCTCTCCTTCTCTCCTTCTCTCCTTCTCTCCTTCTCTCCTTCTCGCCTTCTCTCCTTCTCTCCTTCTCTCCTTCTCTCCTTCTCTCCTTCTCTCCTTCTCTCCTTCTCTCCTTCTCTCCTTCTCTCCTTCTCTCCTTCTCTCCTTCTCTCCTTCTCTCCTTCTCTCCTTCTCTCCTTCTCTCCTTCTCTCCTTCTCTCCTTCTATCCTTCTCTCCTTCTCTCCTTCTCTCCTTCTCTCCTTCTCTCCTTCTCTCCTTCTCTCCTTCTCTCCTTCTCTCCTTCTCTCCTTCTCTCCTTCTCTCCTTTTCTCCTTCTCTCCTTCTCTCCTTCTCTCCTTCTCTCCTTCTCTCCTTCTCTCCTTCTCTCCTTCTCTCCTTCTCTCCTTCTCTCCTTCTCTCCTTCTCTCCTTCTCTCCTTCTCTCCTTCTCTCCTTCTCTCCTTCTCTCCTTCTCTCCTTCTCTCCTTGTCTCCTTCTCTCCTTCTCTCCTTCTCTCCTTCTCTCCTTCTCTCCTTCTCTCCTTCTCTCCTTCTCTCCTTCTCTCCTTCTCTCCTTCTCTCCTTCTCTCCTTGTCTCCTTCTCTGCTTCTCTGCTTCTCTGCTTCTCTGCTTCTCTGCTTCTCTCTTTCTCTCCTTCTCTCCTTCTCTCCTTCTCTCCTTCTCTCCTTCTCTCCTTCTCTCCTTCTCTCCTTCTCCCCTTCTCTCCTTCTCTCCTTCTCTCCTTCTCTCCTTCTCTCCTTCTCTCCTTCTCTCCTTCTCTCCTTCTCTCCTTCTCTCCTTCTCTCCTTCGCTCCTTCTCTCCTTCTCTCCTTCTCTCCTTCTCTCCTTCTCTCCTTCTCTCCTTCTCTCCTTCTCTCCTTCTCTCCTTCTCTCCTTCTCTCCTTCTCTCCTTCTCGCCTTCTCGCCTTCTCTCCTTCTCTCCTTCTCTCCTTCTCTCCTTCTCTCCTTCTCTCCTTCTCTCCTTCTCTCCTTCTCTCCTTCTCTCCTTCTCTCCTTCTCTCTTTCTCTCTTTCTCTCTTTCTCTCTTTCTCTCTTTCTCTCTTTCTCTCTTTCTCTCTTTCTCTCTTTGTCTCTTTTTCTCTTTCTCTCTTTCTCTCTTTCTCTCCTTCTCTCTTTCTCTCTTTCTCTCTCTCTCTCTCTCTGTCTCTCTTTCTCTCTTTCTCTCTTTCTCTCTTGCCCTCTTTCTCTCTTTCGCTCTTTCGCTCTTTCTCTCTTTCTCTCTTTGCCTCTTTCTCTCTTTCTCTCCTTCTCTCTTTCTCTCCTTCTCTCTTTCTCTCTTTCTCTCTTTCTCTCTTTCTCTCTTTCTCTCTTTCTCTCTTTCTCTCTTTCTCTCCTTCTCTCCTTCTCTCCTTCTCTCCTTCTCTCCTTCTCTCCTTCTCTCCTTCTCTCCTTCTCTCCTTCTCTCCTTCTCTCCTTCTCTCCTGCTCTCCTTCTCTCCTTCTCTCCTTCTCTCCTTCTCTCCTTCTCTCCTTCTCTCCTTCTCTCCTTCTCTCCTTCTCTCCTTCTCTCCTTCTCTCCTTCTCTCCTTCTCTCCTTCTCTCCTTCTCTCCTTCTCTCCTTCTCTCCTTCTCTCCTTCACTCCTTCTCTCCTTCTCTCCTTCTCTCCTTCTCTCCTTCTCTCCTTCTCTCCTTCTCTCCTTCTCTCCTTCTCTCCTTCTCTCCTTCTCTCCTTCTCTCCTTCTCTCCTTCTCTCCTTCTCTCCTTCGCTCCTTCTCTCCTTCTCTCCTTCTCTCCTTCTCTCCTTCTCTCCTTCTCTCCTTCTCTCCTTCTCTCCTTCTCTCCTTCTCTCCTTCTCTCCTTCTCTCCTCCTCTCCTTCTCTCCTTCTCTCCTTCTCTCCTTCTCTCCTTCTCTCCTTCTCTCCTTCTCTCCTTCTCTCCTTCTCTCCTTCCCTCCTTCCCTCCTTCCTTCTCTCCTTCTCTCCTTCTCTCCTTCTCTCCTTCTCTCCTTCTCTCCTTCTCTCCTTCTCTCCTTCTCTCCTTCTCTCCTTCTCTCCTTCTCTCCTTCTCTCCTTCTCTCCTTCTCTTCTCTCCTTCTCTCCTTCTCTCCGTCTCTCCTTCTCTCCTTCTCTCCTTCTCTCCTTCTCTCCTTCTCTCCTTCTCTCCTTCTCTCCTTCTCTCCTTCTCTCCTTCTCTCCTTCTCTCCTTCTCCTTCGCTCCTTCTCTCCTTCTCTCCTTCTCTCCTTCTCTCCTTCTCTCCTTCTCTCCTTCTCTCCTTCTCTCTTTCTCTCTTCTCTCTCTTTCTCTCTCTCTCTCTCTCTTCTCTCTCTCTCCTCTCTCTCTCTCTTCTCTCTCTCTTCTCTCTCCTCTCTCTCCTCTCTCTCTCTCTCTCTTTCTCTCTTTCCGTCTTTGCTCGTATCAATTCAGGGACTGCGGGGTATCCCAGGCGTTTGTGAGCCTTTCCGAGACATTCGGAAACTCAAATGCCCCGTCCCAGTGGCCTTGCTGGCCCCAGTGGCCGCGGAGGGTTCCAACTACATGCCTGGGCTGTTTCAAGTGCCACTCCACGGGCCATTCCATGTGCAGATCTGCTGTGCAGCATTTTGTTGCTGTCGTGGTTCTCTTGGTAAGCTAGCCGCCTGCGCACACTCCGTTGGCTGAGACAGGACGTTGAAGCCAACGCAGACATGGTCGACAAGCCTAACAATCTCATAGCGGATGCTTCAAGGAGATTCTTGGCCGTCTGCATGTCTCATTTTGAGCGCTCTCCTTTGCTAGGAAGATCTTCGAAAGTGGCCATGGCGACGTTGGGAGGAAGGTCGCTGAGCAGATCGGATTTCTGATGAGGCGCCGCATGCTATGAATGAAGATATCTGCATGCAGCTCTGTCCACATCCTTTCGGCGGCGCTGCATTGTGCACCAGTTTAGTGACGGGTGCCCGTGGCTTATCAAGCAGATGCCGATCTGATTATTTTCTGAAATATTCAAGACAAAAAAGTTTCTGATCGTTTTTTCTGGTCTGTGAAATGCGTCTGATTTGTTTTCTGAATCTGATTTTTCTGAAGATCCTCCCCTAGGAGGGGGGATCAGATTTCAGAACCGAATCAGAAAAGTGCTGTATGTACCATGCATTTTCTGATTTTCCCTTCCTTTTCCGGATGCCCAAAAATTTCTGAAAAAGAACTTTTGGTCCGGACGCGCGCCATGGGGATGGAAAGTCGCAAAAGCATGGCACTTGTCTTATTTTTTTTTGAAATCCCTCCCCTCCAGGGTCCAGGGGTGGGGGGTGGGGGGGCGGGCGGGGGGTGGGGAGATCAGAATTCAGAAAAAACCAGAAAAACAATCAGGAAAATAATCAGAATAATGCTACATGGATCGTTTTTCTGATTTTCCAGCCCTTGGAGCGGGCATTCGGAATTTCTGAAAAAACTCTGATTTTGTTCTGGCGCGAACATATTTGTAGATTTTTTCCAGACATGTTTTTGGAGTCAGATTTTTTCAATGTTTCAGATATCAATTATTCCAGGTTTTTTCTATAAGCCAGCCGATGCCGGTCACTACACCAGTTGTTCACTGATTGTTCAGGCGAATCCGGTGGGTGAACTCGAACATTTCTTTGGCCTTTCCCCTGCACATGGGGCATGCCGATGCCTTGGAAGATGCAAACCCAACGTAGCGTATTCAGGATATTTCAGGATGTCCCCATGTTTGCCAAGGCGCTTTCCGTCCTGCAGGAGATGGAGCACCGAGATGCGCTGCAGGTGCATGGAGTGGCGTGCAGTGTGACGAGCTGTTGCCTTGGCCCACTGACGTCCTCTTGCAGGTTTTGAAGAAGCTTGTGGAGCAAAGTGAAGAGATTGCAAGTCCTCAGCGCCTCAGCCGACTTGCGCAGACCTCACGCAAAGCATCTCGGAGATTGGTAGCAGTCTTGCAGGGGGTTTCTGCGACGAGAAGCCAGAAACATACAAGAGGCAAAAAAAGGCGGGCGAGCTTTGACGATCCACTTGTGGTTAATGGCCATATCCCTGCAAGCGAAAGGCTGGAAAGACAACAGCAAAGCAAATTGGAGTGGAACATATGGAAAGCAGGACAAAAGTTGGGGTGAGAATGGAAAAAGCTCCCGGACCTGGCAGTCAGACCAAACTGCAGGAGAGAGTCTCAGACATCCTCACATGTCAGATGTGCGCCCGAGCAGCCCGAGCCTTCCTTAGCTCAGGCCACGCCCAAGCCAAGAGCAAATGGGAAAGCAAAGGAAAAGCTGGCAAAGCTGGCAAAGCTGGCAACGCGGGCAGCGCCGGCAAAGCTGGCAGCGCCGGCAAAGCTGGCAAGCCCAGCATGGGGAACGGTGCAGTGAGGCCCGGGAAGCCCATGTACCGGTGCTTTAGGCTCCATGGCTGCAGCGATGCCTCGCTGGTATCCGAGGCTCACCGCCTCGGAACAGAAGGTGGCCAGAACTGTGGGTTTCCTCAACAAGCACGCAGGCAGCTCGGGTGGCGTTGCAACTTCCACTTTCGGCACTGGCACGATTCGAGGACTCCTACAGAATTTCAGCTACGAGCAGGCAAAGCCTCAGCTGGACCTGGTGCGCTCCCCAATCATCAGACTCAGACAAGGCACAATGCATGCCCCGTGCGGAGGGCATGAATCGGTGTGCGAACACGCATGTGGCGAAGACGCCTCGGTAGGTGAGGGCGCGTGATCATGAGGCGTCAGGCAAAGTCGCATTGCGAGACAGCAGCGAGAACGCGCTTGCAAAGACGCATGCAGATACATGCGACCTCATAATGATAATGCTACGTCAAGGCCTGCAATGAGGCTTCGCAACGCAACGACGCGGCGTCAGCAAATGGAGCGGTGTGATGCGGCGCCGCGGATAACTGGCCGGCAGTGCAAAACTCTAACTCAAGTGACGACAGGTATGATTCTGGCGTCACCAAGTATTGTCCTGAACGACTGAACGTGTGAAGTGGTGCAGGGGCTCGTGTAGTATAAGCATTGCTGCGAAGGTAGACGAGAAGACGCAGCTGAAGGTGCTTGAGCGGCTGAAGAGCGAGGTGTCTGACTGCATTTGTGTCGAAAGGGTCAAGCGCTGAGCTTTAAAAGAAGTGGAGTCTGGTTCAGGCAGCCAATGTTGCAGATCCGCTGGGGTGGGTCAAGTCGACCTGCCGCAAATTTGCCAGGACCTGACATGAAACTCGACGGTGTGGCGTAATGTGTCATGATGAGGCATGTGGAGGTAGCCCAGTGTAGCTCATCTGCCCTGACCATGCTTGCCAAGGCGAAGCAGCACCAGGAGTTTGCCAAGCGGAAGCGGGGGGGCCACAAGGGTGCTAAGGGCACTGGCAAAGGCGCTGGTGAGGGCCCGGCATGTTTTCTATGTGTTTGGAAGGGTACTTGCCACTGCTACACTGTGAACAGCTGGCTGCCGGCGATTTGCATCAGGCTGGAAAGGGAACACGGCCCAGCAAGAAGCAAAAGACCGGCCAGGTGCATCGATGACAAAAAGAGCGCTGAATGCCATGCAAAGCCCTGGATTTGCAGCAGTGAAACGATGAAGAATGCCCTTGTCGCACACATCTTGGCAGCCAGGAAAGCTGGGTGGAGGAGTGGGCAGAAACAGAGGCAGCTGCAGAGGAGCTGTCCAAACTGGTGCTTGGACATGGGTTAGCAAGTTATTGGTGCCACTACACCTGCTTGAGCTGAAGGACGAGGAGTTCGAGTTCGACTGGTCGCAGATCGAGGCCGAGGACTGCGCGTGTGGCCCCCTCGTTTGAACCCTACTTGTCATCTGCAGCTCTGCGAAGGATGGTGGCGAAGAAGCGGAGGCGATGGCTTGTGACCCGCAAGTGTGAATCTCTGCCTAGCAGCCAGCAGTCTGCGAGGAAAACCTTTGGGATGAGCAAGGTGCGGCGGCATTCAAACGCGTTCCACAGCGTTCCACAATGTTGGGCATTACAGCTCTGCATGAGCAGCACCTCGAAGGGGGTATTCTTGCTGTGGAGCTGGCAGGCTGAGTTTTGGCATCGCATCCGTCGCCCTCACTCTGTCTGCCTGCGCTGCGCTCCTGGGGGAAAATCCACACCTCAGCCGTCCGACTGGCAGGATTCAAGTTGCGCTTACTAGGACGCTCGATTTGTCTTTCGCAGTAGAAAAGCATTTAGATTCAGAGAAGGCGGGTCAATGAGTCACAGTGTGCGCCGGGAAACATTCCCACCTTCGGGGTCACTGTGGACCTGCAGCCTGCCAGGGCATCTCGTCCAGGTGCTAAACCCTCTCAACCATCGCGTGACTCGCTTGTCCAAGCTGCTACAAGCGGTCCAAAGTGATCGACTCAGCATTTCTCAACAAATCATCTGTAGAACTGCTGGGGAACGCTCGGCCTCGGGCCTAGACATGAAAGGGCGGCAAGCCCAACCGCACTACAAAGCCATCCACAGGAGTTTGGTAGACAGGCTTCAACAAAGCATTCTCCATGGACCGACCATGTCAAAGCATGCCGCCCATGATGCGCAACTCTTCCGCACAACTGTTGGGTGTCTGTAGTGGGCTGGATAGGTTGGTGTCGGGCATGCCTTTTCTCTCCCATATCCAAGGCAAGTCAGTCCCAGCGAACTGGACCAGCCTCTAGGATGAGTTTCGAAGGGACTCACCAAAATCAAACATCGTGAAACTGCGACCTGAGCTCGGCTCGAGGTTCTTCCACTTCTTGCAGTGCCAGCTTCGGATGGAAGCTCGCCACTGTATGCAGGAAGAGTTGGAGCTTCAGGATCAGCAGGCAGAACGGCTGCAGGTTCCTTTGCAGGCTCCCATGATACGCCGCATGCCATCACAGGCCCGAGCCATTTGGCCACATTTCGAGGAATGGGTGCAGCCAAACCTCGGCAAGAAGGACAGGGACAGTGCCACGACTTGAACTTCCGCGCTGCACCATCTGTCAGAAGTACTCAGCCGATGTCGAGAGGAGAAATGGATGCCCTTCCATACTGCCCCTCGCCTGCGGCAGGGTTCTGTTAAACTTAGAGTGTCCACATCAGAGCAGAGTCTGTGCAGGTCTTGGGCGCCCATGAACTCTTCATCGTGGAGAATATTCACCACAATCCCGAGCTGCGGTGGGATGACAAGTGCAGCTCGGACTATGCGTGTCTCATAGGCTCATACTCCTCATGTCATGTGGGTTCCTTTCAAGGCAAGTTCCTGGCGATGTTCGTGCCCGGCTCTTAGCTTTTGAGTCGCTTTCGCGGCTATTGCTTGGAGCTCAAGGTTCCGAGCACACTGCCGCGGCACGATCTTCCGAGCAGCTTGGCGCCACAAGAGGTTACGCAAAGTTGCACAAAGTTGTGCCCAAGCTTCCCACGGGCTTTGCTTTGCCTCTTGGTATCGGTCGCAGCTTGTTGCCCATCCCAGGAGGCCCAGCTGCCATACATGCGAGGTCAGGATTTCTGGAGGCGCCCCGCATCCCGCCGCCAGCAGTGAGCCAAATTTCCCACTCAAAAATTGACGGACTATCGCAGGGACCCTGTCTCTTACTTCAAAGAGAACGGCAAGATCACGCAAAGCATGCTCTCGCAGCTGGGTGGCGAATTCGTTGTTGTTTGTTTTGTTTTGGTTTCAAGAAGGCCTGGGGAGAAGTCGTAAGCAAAAGCAGAAGTAGGCCAACTAGCAGCTTAGTGGCTACAGTTTTTTTTCCCCCGGGGTGGCCGAGCAGGGAGGGCTCGCTTTTCTCGGAGAGGTACCGGAAGAAGACGGGGCACCCTTTGCAGACCTCGGCCTTCCTTGCCATCCCCGAGCGGCTCTGCCAGGCCATGTTGATGGAAGTAGAGAAGACCCAGCGCACCGAATCAGAGGGTCTTCTGTGACCTTTCTTGGAAGGATGATGACGAGAATTTGGCGAAGAACGTGGCTCAGAGGACGCGGACGCTGCTGGAGGCCTGAGATGGGCTTGAGTCGGCTTACGAGCGTCGGATGTTTGGGGTGGCGGTATTTTTTCCGTAGTTTTTTCCGTGTTTTTTGTAGTTTTTTTCCGGCCGTCTGGCCCAGCAAGTAAGCAAGCAAGTAAGCAAGCAAGCCAGCAAGCAAGCAAGGAAAACAAGCAACGGTACCAGCAAGCAAGCAATCAAGCAAGCAAGCAAACAAGCAAGCAAGCAAGCAAGCGAGCAAGCGGGCCAGCAAGCAAGCAAGCAAGCAAACAAGCCAGCCCCCCCCGCTTGGGCTGCGCCCCCCCCCCCCCCCCCCCCCCCCCCCCCCCCCCGCCCCCCCCCGCTTTTTTAAGCTAAACCCTAAACCCTAAACCTAAACCCTACCCTAAACCCTAAACCCTAAACCCTAAACCCTAAACCCTAAACCCTAAACCCTAAACCCTAAAACCCTAAACCCTAAACCCTAAACCCTAAACCCTAAAACCCTAAACCCTAAACCTAACCCTAAACCCTAAACCCTAAACCCTAAACCCTAAACCCTAAACCCTAAACCCTAAACCCTAAACCCTAAACCCTAAACCCTAAACTGCCGAGAGCGCCGCTGTCCATATGCATGGGCGCTCGAGGCTTCGACCGAGGTCCCCGACCGAGCGTCTCCACAGAACGGTGAGGGAGGGTAAAGCCTCCCGGTAGACGAGACGGCAGTGACTGGCTACGCCTCAGACCTAGGGCGTCAGCCCTAATAAAAAGGACCCCAAACCTACGACCGTTGATGTGTTTTAGTGTTTTTTACGGGGGTCAGGGGGGTACCCCCCGGGGGGGTCTGGGGCCCGGGCTGGCAGATTCCGGGGACCCCCCTGCCGGGGGCGGTCCAGGGCTCCTGCAGCGATTTTGCCTCCGATTGTTGTTTTTGGGTGCTTTCGACACTTCTGGGCTGGGACCCCCCTGGGACCCCCCTGGGACGCCCCTGGGACCCCCCTGGGACCCCCCTGGGACCCCCCTGGGACCCCCCTGGGACCCCCCTGGGACCCCCCTGGGACCCCCCTGGGAACCTCTGGGACCTTTTTGGGACCTGCCTGAAACCCCCTGTTACCCCCTGGGACCCCCCTGGGACCCCCCTGGGACCCCCCTGGGACCCCCCTGGGACCCCCCCTGGGACCCCCCTGGACCGCCTGAGACCTGGGACCCCCCTGAAAACCCCCCTACACCTACTTACCTCAAACAGACGGGCCTTTCCGGACCCCCCCCCCCCACCCCCTTGGGACCCCCCTCAGACCCCCCTGACACCCCCTCCCAAGAATTCGCTCGGTTTTGGTCAAAAATCCAGAAAACGAGAGACCACCCAGAGCCGTCGATTTCAGTACTAAAAAATCGCATTTTTAACTGGGACCCGGGCCGATCCTGGGGTCCCCCTCATTTGGGGTGTTTTTGGAGGCAAACTTTCCCTTTCAAGGGGGGGTCGGAGTTTGAGGCTAGGGGGGGTCTCAGAAGACTATTTTGCCTTTAAAATTGAAAAACACAACCCCCCCTTGACCAAAACTAGGCTGTGAAAAGGTCGCGGGGGCGGCCCTCCATCAGAATTGAGGGTTACAAACTCTGAAATATCCTGAAAAACATTGAAAAACCTTAAAAAACACTGAAAAATTCTGAAAAACCTTGAAGAACCTTGAAAAACTTGAAATCCCGAAGCCGGTGAAGGCTCGGTTTTGGTCAAAAATCCAGAAAACGAGAGACCACCCAGAGCCGTCGATTTCAGTACTAAAAAATCGCATTTTTAACTGGGGCCCGGGCCGATCCTGGGGTCCCCCTCATTTGGGGTGTTTTTGGAGGCAAACTTTCCCTCTCAAGGGGGGGCCGGAGGGCGCAGTTTTGGATTTATGAGGCCTCCCCACCCGCCAGGCTAGGGTTCCGGCCTCCCAGAGGGGCCTCCTGGGGCCTGAGCTGACAGGGTCTCATTTGCCCAGACGCGTAAGAAAATGTGGGTTTTTTAGTATTGCAAATCGACGGTTTTCCATTTCAAAAAGCAGGGCCGGCCGAGGCCCTGCTACTCCCGACCGTTTTTGCTGCCCTTTCAAGCCCGAAAATGTGGGTTCTTGGTATTGCAATTGATGGTTTTGGGCACCTTCCATTTTACTCCGTGAAAGCTCCAAGAAGCCTACGAGTCACTGACAGGCTCCATGAAGCTCGGGAGACCCCGCCCTGCTCTTTCTCTGTAAAAAGCAAGAAAGCCCCCCTTGAGGGGGGTTTGGGGGGTGAACCCTAAACCCTAAATGAGAATAGTTTGGGTGGTTGGGGTGGGACTACATGCTAACGCAAGCGAGCGGCCCGGGTGCTTTTAGCACCAGCGAGCTTCCCTTCTATACACCCTAAACCCTAAACCCTAAACCCTAAACCCTAAACCCTAAACCCTAAACCCTAAACCCTAAACCCTAAACCCTAAACCCTAAACCCTAAACCCTAAACCCTAAACCCTAAACCCTTAACCCGCCCACCACCCCTCTCATTCTAGAGGTGAGTGGGCGCCGTCGAGCGCTCAGCGAGACCATGGCAGGCTCTGCTGAGCTGCAGAGCCTGCCAACCGCACCCCTGAGGGGTCGCCAGGCTACAGTCGCCTAGCTCAGTGACTGCTTATATATTATAACCCTAAACCCGGCCCCTGCTCTCGGGAGGCCCGCCCAACCCTGGCCTGGGGCCCCCCTGGAGGCCTCCCTGGACCCTCTGGAGGCTGTCCCGACTCCGACCTTGTTCGCTGGACCAGGGGCCCTTTAACGGGCTCAGCCTGGAACAGTGGTCAAAAATTGACCCCTGGAAACCGCTCCCCACCCCCCCCCACCCCCCCCACCCCCCCCACCCACCCCCACGCCACCCACCCCCCCCCCACCAAGGCCAGGCCAGGCCCTGGAAGGCCCCTAAAACGTAGGTAGGTTTTTCCACGCTTCGAGTGAAAAAGAATGAGAAGGCCCTCCGGCCGAAGACACCCCCCAACGCAAACGCCGATTTGGCTCTCGCAAGCTTCTAGACCTGTTTAGCAAAGGGTCTATCGCCATACAACCTTTACGCTCCCGCATAGAGAAGAAAAAACAATGAGAAGCCCTCCGGCCGAAGACACCCCCCAACGCAAACGCTGATTTGGCTCTGGTAAGCTTCTAAACATGACTCTCACAAGGCCTGTTCATATCAACGCCGTGACACCCCGACATCGAGAATAGAAACAATGAGAAGGCCCTCCGGCCGAAGACACCCCCCAACGTAAACGCTGATTTGGCTCTGGTGAGCTTCTAGACATGACTTTCACAAAGCCTGTTTCCTGTAACACCATGACATCCCGACGTCGAGAATAGAAACGATGAGAAGGCCCTCCGGCCGAAGACACCCCCCAACGCAAACGTTAATTTGGTTCTCGCAAGCTTCTAGACATGACTTTCACAAGGCGTGTTTATAGCAACAAACCTGAGTGCAGAAGTGTTTGGATGTGGGCTGGCTTTGGTTTGGCTGGCTCTGGTTTGGTTCGTTTTGAGTAGTGTTTGGGTGGTCTTGGGGTGGGCATGTCTGCACACAAGTGCGTACAGCTGAACAATGCTACACCCTAAACCCTAAACCCTAAACCCTAAACCCTAGACCCTAGACCCTAGACCCTAGACCCTAAACCCAAACCCTAAACCCTAAACCCTAGACCCTAGACCCTAGACCCTAGACCCTAAACCCAAACCCTAAACCCTAAACCCTGAACCCTAAACACTAAACCCTAACCCTACCCCTAAACCCTAACACCCTAAACCCTAAACCCTAAAACCCTAAACCTAAACCCTAAACCCTAACCCCTAAACCCTAAACCCTAAACCCAAAAAACCTAAACCCTAAAACCGCTAAACCCTAAACCCTAAACCCTAAACCCTAAACCCTAACCCTAAACCCAAACCCTAAAACCCTAACCCTAAACCCTAACGCGCTAAACCCTAAACCCTAAACCCTAATCCCTAAACCCTAAACCCTAACCCCTTAACCCTAAACCCTAAACCCTAAACCCTAAACCCTAAACCCTAAACCCTAAACCCTAAACCCTAAACCCTAAACCCTAAACCCTAAACCCTAAACCCTAAACCCTAAACCCAACCCCCCCGCTTTTTAGCTTCTTTCAAAGCATGTGAATCTTGAAACCCATCATGCAAGCAAACTCATCATGCAAGCATTGAGTTTGCAAATGGGGGGGTGCTGCGCCCCCCCCCCAAACCCCCAACCCCCCCACGCTTGGGCTGCGCCCACTCCCCCAAAAACCCAACCCCCCCGCTTTTTGAGCTAAACCCTAAAAACCTAAACTCAGGGCCTAGGCCGCCCCCCTACAGAGGGGGGGCGGCGCTCAAGCCCTTCGACCTCCATGGCGAAGGTCGACCCAGGTCGCTTGCCCGCCTCCTGCAGGCAGGAGGTAGCACCCACCATCATGGGCCGGTACCGGAGCAGGATTTCGGGGGGGGGGTACCCCAAGGCCCCCAGGCCAGGAGGACCCGGACCCCTCACCGCAGCGTGTCCAGGGACCAGGGGGCCTCAGGCCAGGCTAGGCAGGGCGGGCTCAAAAACCTGCTTTTTTGGTTTTTGCTGGACTTTTGAGCCCCCTGGGCCGCCTGGGCGCCCCTGAACCCCCCTGGGCACCCCTGGGCCGCCCTGGGCCCCCCTGGGCCCCCCTCTGGGCCCCCCCTGGGCCCCCCTGGGACGCCCTGGGCTCCCTGGGCCTTCTGACCTCCTTTCTGGCCCCCCTGCCTCCCGGCCCCCCCCCTGGCCCCCCCCTCTGGGCCCCGCCCTGGCCCCTCACCCCCTCTGGCTGGCTGGCCTCCCTGGACCCTGACGCGCTCTAGGCCCCCCCTCCCCCTGGCCCCCGTTGGCCGTGCCCTGGCCCTCCTCCTGACCCTGACCCCTTTCACCCCCGAACTTCATGAAATTGAACAAGTTGTAAAAAATGAACTGTTGCCTTGAGTTTAGGCCTAAACCCTAAAAGGAATAGGTTTGGGTGGCTTTGCCGCCTTGGACGGCGTGGGGTGGGAGAAAAGTATTAGATGGCCCTCCACAATCGGGCCAAAAGCTGCTCTTCGCACCTCACGAAGCTTTCGAGCTTGTTCCGAAACCTAACCTTCACAGCACCTACGCCCTATCACAGCAAACCCTACACCCTAAAGCCTACACCTTAAACCCTAAACCCTAAACCCTTAACCCTAAACCCTAAACCCTAAACCCTAAACCCTAAACCCTAAACCCTAAACCCAACTCCCCCGCTTTTTAGCTTCTTTCAAAGCATGTGAATCTTGAAACCCATCATGCAAGCATTGAGTTTGCAAATGGGGGGGGGGGGGGGGGGCGGCCCCCCCCCCAACCCCCCCCGCTTGGGCTGCGCCCCCCCCCCCCCCCCAACCCCCCCGCTTTTAAGCTTAAAAAAACCCTAAACCTAAACCCTAAACCCTAAACACCCTAAACCCTACCCACCCTACACCCTACCCTAAACCCTACACCCTAAACCCTAAACCCTAAACCCTAAACCCTAAACCCTCCCTAAACCCTAAACCCTAAACCCTAAACCCTAAACCCTAAACCCTAAACCCTAAACCCTAAACCCAAACCCCCCCCCCCCCCCCCTTTTTAGCTTCTTTCAAAGCATGTGAATCTTGAAACCCATCATGCAAGCAAACTCATCATGCAAGCATTGAGTTTGCAAATGGGGGGGGCTGCGCCCCCCCCCCCCCCCCAACCCCCCCCGCTTGGGCTGCGCCCCCCCCCCCAACCCCCCCGCTTTTTTTAAGCTAAACCCTAAAACCTAAACCCTAAACCCTACACCCTAAACCCAACACCCTAAACCCTAAACCCTTCACCCTTAACCCTAAACCCTAAACCCTGGGTATATAGGGTTTATAGGGAAGGGCTCAGTACCCCCTCGACAGAGGGGGGAAGCCAAGAGGTTCCCGACCAGCAAGCCAGAAAAAAACTACAAAAAAAAACGGAAAAAAACTACGGAAAAAATCCCAGCCCGATGTTTGGTCCCCAGAGGGCGCCTGAGTTGCCGCAGGTTGCAGAACAGCTGTGGCCCATCCTGCACAACAGCAGCCTGGCCAGCGTCGAGAAGTTTGAGGATGCTTGGCCCTATTCAGGCTATTCAGGCCTACTAAACGCAGCACAAGTCCACGTCACACGGACATTCTTGCTGATTAGGAAATTTCGCGGACGATCCAAGCTGCATACCGCTTGGGCGAGACATGGGCAAAGATGCTGATGGTCACGATCCGCATGGTTTAAGGGAGGTCTTTCTGTAGCATACTGAGTACAGGTTCTCATCCATGTGATGAGATGTTTCTGCTTGCTTCAGGTGAGCATCGACATCGCCTACCCCAAAGAGCAGCTGCTTGCAAACAGCTGTGATGCGTGGGGACTTGGAGTTCTCTTGCGCAGCTTCTTTGATTGAGCATCCTAAGCCCTAAACGCTAAACCCTGAACCCAAAATTCCCACCCTAACCCGCCCAGTCAATGTAGTGTTTTTGGAAACGCTTCTGAGAGGTGGGCGTGGGTGCACTGAAAGCACTCCAGCGGCTCTTCAATGGTAAATGTGGGGCCCTCAGAGGCAGCAACCATCCTCCGCCTCCGGGATTAGGGTTTTTAGGGTTTAGGGTTTTTAGGGTTTTTAGGGTTTTTAGGGTTTTTAGGGTTTTTAGGGTTGTTAGGGTTGTTAGGGTTGTTAGGGTTTTTAGGGTTTTTAGGGTTGTTAGGGTTTAGGAAAACAACAACGATACAAGACCCTAGAAGCCCAACCTGAACCCGAAGAACCCTGAGTAAAACCCAGCATCCCCAAGAACCCCCCCCCCCCCCAAATAGAACGGCTCTCCTGACTTGGGGAAGCCCTGAGCATGTCCCCAAAAGCCCCAGCGTCCTCAGCCCTGACTCTTAAACCCCTAAACCCTAAACCCTAAACCCTAAACCCTAAACCCTACACCCTACACCCTACACCCTAAACCCTAAACCCTAAACCCTAAACCCTAAACCCTAGACCCTGAGCCCAAGGTGCCCTCGACCTCCGGGATGCCCTGAGAAGGGCCACTCGCGCGGCAAACGAGTCGCAGCGCCGAGCGGCAAAGGGCTTCTGGCTCCTGCTGGGACAGGCGAGGGGGGCAGGGGGGTTGGTGGGTTTGGGAGGCCTGACCCCTAAACGCCCTAAACCCTAAAGCCGAAACCCTAAGCCCTAAACCCGAAGCCCTAAACCCTAAACCCTCAACCCTCAACCCTCAACCCTCAACCCTCAACCCTCAACCCTCAACCCTCAACCCTCAACCCTCAACCCTCAACCCTCAACCCTCAACCCTCAACCCTCAACCCTCAACCCTCAACCCTCAACCCTCAACCCTCAACCCTCAACCCTCAACCCTCAACCCTCAACCCTCAACCCTAAACCCTAAACCCTAAACCCTAAACCCTAAACCCTAAACCCGCCCGCCCCCCCTCAAAGCTCTATTGGGGTAGGCGGGGCGGGCGCAGTCGAGCGCTCAGCGAGACCACGGCAGGCTCTGCTGGGCTGCAGAGCCTGCCAGTCGGGGCAGTCCTTTTCCATTTGCCTGGACCTGGCCCTGGCCCTGGCCCTGGCCCTGGCCCTGGCCCTGGCCCCTGCCCCCTGGCTGCCTGAGCCTCGGGCCTGAGTTTTCTGCGAGAAAGCCCTTCGGCCCAGACCGTCCCCTTCGCGTAAACCTGAAGGGGAGTCCTTTGCCTTATGGCCCCAAGAAAAACCCAGAGGTCTAGTCACTAAGGCTTGGGCTGTTCTAACTAGTTTCGGAATCCTCTAAGAATGTTCGACGTGTGAATTTTGAATGGTTGCCTTAGTTTGGGCTGGCTCCGGCTCGGCTTCGCGGATTTTGAATGGCTGGCTTGGTTTTGGCTAGCTCCGGTTTGAAATTGTGAGTTGTGATAGGGTGGCCTTGGGGTGGGCATGTCTTCACACTATTGCGTTCAGCTGATCCGTGCTACACCCTAAACCCTAAACCCTAAACCCTAAACCCTAAACCCTAAACCCTAAACCGGTCCACCGTCTGGGAGAAGGGGGAGGGCTCGGATGGACGCACGGAAGCCCCCTAGGATTTGGTGCTCGTTTTTGTTTGTTTCCTTGTCTTCTGTCCCTCTTGGAGGGAGTCTCGCGTCAACTTAGGGATGATATGAAGGCCATGATCCCTGCATGGTCCCATGAGGAGATCACATGTGCCCACAGGTGGAGGCAATGGCGAAGAAGCGCTTCGCAAAGTTGCCCCTCGTTCTGCGGCAGGTGTGAAACATGGTGGAACCATGATCGCAAAACCTAAGCATCTGCATGGTCAAGACCAGGCCCGAAGGGGCATAAGAGAGCATGGATGGCATGGCCAGGTGAACACTGGCCATGGACAGGTCAGCGCAGTCACGATGCAGGCAGATGTAATTGGATGTGGCGTGCCTGGCGTGCTAGCTGCCGTGGTGCTGCAGTCAGTGTCAGCTTGCAAGCCTTCCATCATTGCATCCTTGGTATCCTGGGCAGGTGCAGCTCTGTGAGTGGCGGCAATTCATGGATCACTTGACAAAGGCCGGAGCGCAGACCACAAAACCTGATAGGAGCCACGAACCCGAATGCAGATACGTATCACGTACACGGCAACCAAAAGACGCCGTCTCTCTCTCTCTCTCTTTTCATTTTTTTGCAATCTCTCTCTCTCGGGCTTATCTGTCTCTCTCTCTCTCTCTTATCTCTTCTCTCTCTCTTTCATCTCTTCTCTGTCCCTCTCTCACCTCTCCTGTCTCTCATCTCTCTCCATGTCATTCTTCCATTCTCTCTCTCTCTCATTCTCCCGCTCTTTCTCTTTCTCATTCTCTCTCATTCTCCCTTTCTGTCTCTTTCTCATTTTCGCTCTGTCTCTCTCTCTCTCTCTCCCTCCCTCCCTCCCTCACTCCCTTCTCTTTTTCGCCAATGCCCGAAACCCCACCTGTTAAAGCGGGAACCCTCCGCTGCGCATTCGGGAGCAACCTTGTGCACGGTGCAGCCTCCACTGCAAGCGATTGCAAGCGTGCAGAAGCGCGCTTGCAGGCTGGAGCTTCTGTGCTCACCAGTGCCGGGCTGATGTATGCAATCACCTCAGTTTTCGAGAGGTTCAGAGAGAGAGAGAGAGAGAGAGAGAGAGAGAGAGAAATCGTGACTGAGTGCATGTCAAGAGTCATGGACGTTCCTAAACAAACACGTAGATTGACCCGTCGTGTGGTAACTACGCGGTGTTGTTCTGCAGCACAAATCGTGCGAGACCATGCTCGCGCTTGCGACATGATTCCTCATGCTGAACGGGCGCCATGGGAGAGGTATTGTCGACCAGCGGCTATCTAGGTTGGGCCGGATGATGTTGGTTTTCAAACTCTGGCATGTGGGCCCCCTTCTTCAGATGTGGGGAATATGTTCTTCACGGAAAACCCCTTAGGTGAACACAGTGACAGTGGCGGGATGCACCGTAAGTATTCCATGCCCGCGCTGCTGTCCCATGGCGCGGCGCCACTCCTGCTTGACATTGGCTATCTCGCACACAAAAACAAAGGAATGCGGTCCTGCTTGCGCTGACTTCGGCCGCAGCGCCCAACTTCTGCGAATCCTGTGCCCCCGAACCACAGTATCCACAGGCAAAGTTGCGGTGTGCATGTAGCCTTTCACGCCTGGGTCTGTTGTTTTCAGCACAGCTTTCCTAAGTGCCAGCGAGATTTGCGATGTTGGGCCTCCTCCCGGGTCCGGCTCCTGTTTCTTGCCCGTTCGGGGTTCTTCGTCTGTTGATTCGTTGACCATGAGTTCCCATGGGCTTCGTTTATGAAATCAGCGGTGCGCCACAGTAGTGGTTCATGGTTGCGCCCCGGCGGACCCCCCCCCCCCCCCCCCCCCCCCCCCCCCCCTCCCCGCCTCCCCCCTCCCCCCCCCTCCCCCTCTCTCCCCCCCCCCCTCCCCCCCTCCCCCTCCCCCCCCTCCCCCCCTCCCCCTCTCCCCCCAGTGGTTATGGGTTGGTTTTAGGGTTTAGGGTTTTTAAGGTTTTAGGGTATAGGGTCTGGGGCTTAGGGCTTAGGGTTTAGGATTAGGGTTTAGGGTTTAAGGTTTAAGGTTTAAGGTTTACGGTTTAGGGTTGGTTTAGGGGAGACCGTAGACCATGGGAGGGGGGGGGATACATGGGGGGGGGGGCAAGAACGCACAGCGCACAACCATAGGCAGCTGGAAAGCATGGTCAACGTGGCATCGTGGAATGTGGGCCCCTGACATGAGGATGACGAGGAGGGGCAACTTGAGCCTGCCCAGAAGGCAAGGTGTTCCATCGAGGATTCGATCCCAAGTTGCCAAAGTCACGGGTGCAAGAGTCTTCTCCCCTGCCTGCAGTACCGCCGTGTCACGGGCAAGCGGAGACAAGGCCGAGCTGCCGAGCTGCGAAGAGATTTGGCTTTGACGATTACGAGGCACGGCATGAGATGACACATTCTCTGCCTGTCAGGAAAAGCAGACAATGGGCTGCCAGAGGCGCACACAACGTCGCTACTGTCAACTCACCCCGCAACTCGCAACGAAGTCTCATTTCGTCGGCAACGAGTTGCCGAAGATGAATGCACATGCTGACCATCGTCACACAATGCCACGCAGATAGCTTACAGTAATTTACAGTAGCTTTTCACGGCCATGTTGGAGGCTGGCAGTGACTCAGAAGATGACAAGCCACTCCTCTACCTCGGCAAGGCCATCGGGACCTTGAGTGCCCGCTAAAGATTCAAACTCATCGGGGGGCATCATTAGTTTTCAAGGAGGGGTCTCTGACATTCTCTGTACGGTGTTGTTGGCATTCGGTGCCGGTCGAGCTTTAAGATTGTGCTTTGGGCACATGTGCGTGTGTACTTGGCAGTCCTTGCTTGCCACCCGATGGGAGGCCTGCGCTGCAATATGTCCATACGCACAATCCCACTCTGCACTTCAGGGCGGCCACAGAACCGATTGTGTGCCACGGCAAACGGTTTCACACAGTTTGCGTATTCAAACGCCGCTGTTGTTGTAGAGTACATTTGCAATCGTGGATAGTGGAGCATTCTCTGCACCATACCCGCAGAACCGACAAGCAACGAAGCAACATTAAAGTGGCAACTTGGGATCGCACGCCTTTCCACTTGATCACTTGGGTCACACACTTGACTTGCTGATTGAGCATGCAGTTTCAAGGATAGAGGTGGATCTTAGCGGGTTTATGGGTAGTGGAGTGCTTACCTCCCTATAGTGTCGAATTCGATACTCACGTTGTCGCACTGGCAATGGCAGGGCATGTTCGGCCTCAGCCGAAGTCTTCCAAACTTCACGCTCATGAAGAAGTGCTTGACCCCGAGCGGAATGACGGCACCTGAAAGACAGGGTATGGCACCAAAAAACGACATGCTCAAGCTCCGGGCGGATGTATGATCCCAAGCTACATATTCCAATATCAAAGACAGGTGAATTACAAACCTTTCCAATTTACCGGATGCATGCCCGCCAGCTGCACATATGTGCACCTCGAACGCACGTGTATGGTCCCACAGTGCATGTTAGCAACACTCGTATGATCTCAGACGAAATCTTTGAGCCTTAGAGAAGTGTGAGAGGTGCAGAGAGGCGAAGACCAAGACATCATTGCAAGGTGTGCAAAGGCAGTTGAAAGTGCAAAGCCTTAACCTTGTCAAGAATTGAAGGCCAACTAACGGGCTCTTGCTATTTTGGATGTTTCGACTTGTGTAGAAAGTCAAAAGGGGAGCTTCCGAATAGATGTCTGCATAGCCCCAAGGGCGACTCTAACATTATGAAACGCTCCTGGCATTTGGAAACTCTTGGAGTAAAAATGGAAAAGGTTCCTTTGTCTCCTTAGCAATCGCAAAGCCGCCCTACAATCTTGGCTGCCAGGCTCAGCCTGAGGCCTGGGCTTGAGAATGTGTGTGTTCAAGAATCCGGAATAGGACATCCTCTAGATTCCTCAAGAAAGCTACTTGTGTGCATGTTTTGTTGCCGGCCTCCCATCACTTATCAGTTCGGTTGGGAGGCACCCAAAACGGCTGTAGCAGTCAAAGCGGCCGCCCGCTCGGCTTTTCCATGCTACCAGAGTCTGAAAAGGTTTGTGTTGATGGGTCGGCCTTTATGTACCTCTCGCTCTTGAGGAACCTGCGAGATCTCCACTTCCGCCACTTGAAGGGCACGAGGCCACTTGCGTTTTGTTTGCGTGGAGCGCTGGTATGGGTGTGCTGGAAGGGTAGGACGGATTGGCTTAGAAGTTCTTAGCTGGAGGATACCCCTATCAGACCTGTTTGGATTCTGCATAGAGAAGCCGTGGGCATTTCAAAGGCTGCTTTCATCCAGCAGAAACGAGACTTGCTGAGAGAGATGAAGGCCGGGAGCTCAGACTGTCAGAGAGGACTTACACCAACTCACAGGGATCCACATGTTGCTATACCTGCCTTACGTACCGATGGCTCTGAGGGAAAAAAGGACCGGGCCAAGAAGCTGCTCCAGGCGCGGTTGCCTCCAAAAGGCTTCTGGGCTTCTCTGCGTCTGCTCAGAACCCTTGGGGCTCAAGACCAGTAGAGCTCTTCACCTTGAGTTGGGACAGCTGGGGTATCGGTAGCCTTCGAATTCAGGGACGCGGCTCTCGGACGACCTCTTGCTCCGGGGACTTTTGCTATCAAGCCCTCCCTGCAGTCCAGCTTTCAGCAAGCACAGCAGAAAGGCGCCAAGTGCAGAAGGCGCGTCCGTCGGGCGAAGTGCAAAGCGCCTGGCTGCCAAACTGTTGTCCAACAAGGGTGCTGGAAGCACCCTGTGCATCAGTTAAACTCGTCAACAGCGCGTGCTTCTGTGAGACTTGTGCACGATGCAAAGTTCACGTTGGCATCTAAAATTACTGCAACGCCTGCAAAGTCTGCCGTTGTCAAGTTGTGTTCTGTGCCGGGGACTCGGCAGAAGGAAGACGAAAGCCTTACAAGTGTTGTGTGGCACCGCGAGCAAGAGCAGACGGCTGTTATGGATGCACGTGCAGCGGCCATGCGATTTGCAGATGTTTGCAGCTTCTCTTGCAATCGGATGCAGGAGAAGTCTGGCCAGCACTTTGAGCGTTGTGAAGCACCAACGCCGCCATACTAAAAAGAACATACAAGAACGAAAACACACAAAACATGCCACGTCTGCCAGGTGTTCGGGGGACATCGGTTCCTGGTACTTCGAGGCGTTTGGTTTGGGGCCATGTGGGTCCTGCGAGGCAGCCGAGAAAGCCTTGAAGAGTGCGGATTCGACGCACCAGAGCCTCAAGGTCCAGGCGTGCCACGTCACGGAATGTAGAATGCGCCCCTCTTGTGCCCTTTGGCGCTTCCTCAGTTTCCTGCGGTGTCCTGTGGTGAAGGTCAGAGACGCCATGAGCCAGAGGTGTACCTGTCAGGAGGCACGCTAGACGTAGAGAAGGAGTGCGTGCAACCGGCGCCACAGCATCAAAAAAACTTTGCAACGCAACAGAATATTTGAATTATGTTGTACTGTTACATTCTACTACATAGATGTGTATACACATCCATATCTTCAGCATATTTGCAGAGTTCACTGGCCACTTGCTCATTCAAATCTGGGAAGTTTTTAGGAGCCTTCGGCCCAGGCTGCCGACCCAAGAGGGCCAGAAACTGTCAGACCCCAAAAGGCAGCAGAGGTCCCCAGGAGGGGGGACCCAAATCCAACCAAAGCCCACCCCCCCCCCCCCCCCCCCCCCCAAAAAAAAAAAAAAAAACATGATCAACAGAGCTACCTGGAAAAGCCTTCCGAGAGCAGGCGTGGGTTTTACGAAGGAGGCCTACCGGGAAAATCCTCCCGGGAGCTGCCACGGATTCACATGGTCAGTCTGGCAGGAGACAGCCCAAAGCCAACCCAAACCCCGCAAATCCATCCGGGAGCAGGGAAGCCTTATCATCCTTATCCTGGTGCATTCTATGATCAACAGAGCTACCTGGAAAAGCTCCGGGAGCAGTAAGGCTGGTGGTGGGGGGACAATGCAGCCCGTCTAGCCCCGAAAACCGCTCAACGGTCCCTTAGTGCGGGAGTTGCAGGGTTGTAGGGTTGTAGGGTTGGGGGTTGGGGGTCTTCGCCACCCAGCCTCTTCCCGCCAACACGGACCCCCACTTTCAAGAGCTCGCAGGGGTGGAGGCGATGATAACGACCCCTTTGTCCCACGAGGCTAACCCCACGTTTTAGTTTTCGAATCCCCGGCCGATGCACTTGAGCGGATCCACCTGTACAGCAGCGCCGCACGACAATCCAAAGTGCCTCTTTGCAAGGCCCTCAACCAAGCAGAGCTTCTTGGCCGCATGTGCCAAGGGGGCCCAGAGCCGTGGAACGCAGAGCCGCGAGCCCGAGGCTCCAGGTGTCGGAACATTCCGACCTCTTGCAGCAGTCGCAGTTGGACTGGGACAGCTTGGAGGACACCTAAGAATATGAGCATACGTAAATCCCTATAGGGCTGAGCAACTTTAGGTCATGTCAGAATTTTGGGAAGGCGAGAATGTCCGGCACTTGTGAGGAGACTTTCAATCAGCTGGATGCCAGATTTGACAGGGACCGAGATCGCTTCCAGGAGTTTTAGGGTTTAGAGGTCTGGGGTCTAGGCCTTTTCATGAGCCCGTGCGTGGTTTCACATGCACCTCAGATGTCTACCAAGGCAAACCTTGCAACCGACAGCAATTCAGAGGCGCGCTTGGGTTCCCCCCCCGGCATAACTTGACTACCAGACCTCGAGCAATTTGTGAACTTGCTGGCCGTAGCCGCCGTAGCTCTGACAGCCAGCCAGGAGTGTGCCAGCATGTTGCGCTCTCAGACATGTCTGCCGTTCACCACGCTTTAAATGTCGGAGTGCCTGTTGCCCGAGGCCTGCTTTGGCAGAGCGTCTTTCGATGGCCTCGTCTGCGAGGCTTTGCACACTTGTTTTGGAGCCCGTAGCAAGATGTGGCCATGAATGCCTCAACTCAAAACGCAGCGAAGTACACCTATTGAGCCGTTACAGGCAACTGCAAATGGCCACGTTCCGAGATGCTCGGCTCCAAGAGTGATGTGAAGACCTAACTTGTTGGCCCAAGCGAGGCAGAGTGGCAGAATTGTGCCACTTGTGCCATGCCTCCATCCCACTTGACGTTGGCAAGCTGTTGGTTGCAAGGTCGTTCAAGACGAATGGGAGGCCAGTTTGTTTCTGCTAAGGCATCTGGTAAAGTTTCACCACTCCTACAGAGAACTCATGAGACTTGTATCGGGTGCTCCTGTCTCAAGGCTTTGCAGGATAAACATGAAAAGCTTCAAGAGAAGCACCTGGCAAGCTTCTCAGCACTGTCACGCAGATGAAAGCCTGCACGGTTCTATGATTCTTTGCCTTCCTTGTCGACTGTTTGCATTTGGTTTGGCCAATCCGGCCACTCGCATGTTTTCAAGGATCTGACTCGAAAAAGCGACATGGCAATGACAAAGTTGCGAGACGCGAAGGAAGAGGTTAGTTGCAAGATGAAGGCACGGGAGGTTGTGCGCAATATCGTCTCAGCTGCTCGAGTGCTTGCATTTGGGTGCGCACATTCAGCGAAATCCAGGGTTTCTGACACTGGTGGCAAATGGTGGCAATGGTGGCAAATGCCCTTGCTACAACTTGCTAGGCGTTGAACACCGCGAAGCAGACTTGCATCGAGGCCATTTCCTGTCTCGCAACCAGGATGTCTCGAAATCATGCCAACTTAACTGCGAAGCAACAGTTTTGTGTACGAACAGCATTTTGCACTGCAACGCGCGCTGCGCCAGGCTCGGAGAGCCGTCGTGAGACGACGAGTGGAATGGATGACAATCGAAACACAGGCAAACATGAGGATGTTAAATAATGTGTGACACAACGACAGAGTTAAGTCAAGGATTGGTTTACGCATGGGCTTTGGGGAATCTGCAGGTCGTTGCTCTGCAAGAGCTGGTCATTGACAGCCTGAGTTCTGCCTGACTGCTTGCAAGAAAGGAAGCGGCTCAGCTTGCATATTGCGTTTGTGCTACTGTACAGCTGTCACAAAAATAGGCCAGCGAAAGCTCTTTTGGCCAGCGGTGCCGGGTACAACTCGGTGCGAGTCACCGCCCCTGCACTTTACATACACAATTGGCTCAAGTCGTCACACGAACGACACATCCATAATTAATCATGAACAGTCATTCCTGGGTTCCTGTTCTGTGAGGCATCATCCCCATTGGCAAGAAGTAGATTCTCATTCCAAGAACGATTCGCTGTAGGCTCTATACCAAGTATGATAAGTATGGTGGGTGCCTTTTCGTCGCATAACCTCCTGGAGTCCCTGGCTAAGATGGCCTGGCACTTTAGCTGCGTACGCGGCATACGCCTTTGGGTACTTTTTCTGTTGTTGGTGCGGAGCACTTCCCAGTCACTGCGCGCCCACGATGCGTCGCAGAATGCCACCGACTTGGATGGTGGCGAAGCAGAGACCATGTCCTGGCCACCTCGCTGGGCGATTGTGGTCATCGGCTGTGCTGTGGCACTACTGACTGGTGCTCTTGGGGTGTCTCTATCCTTATGGCTGAACAGCCGAGCAGCCCCACCATACATGGTTATCCCTGAAGAGACAGCAGAATTAATGCAGTCGCTCCAGGAAACGCACGAGATCAACAAGGTTCGTGTAAAGTTTGATTTTCGAGTGCAGCAACGATTGAAGTGGATTCTGGGAACACGGACAGCGGGGCAGTTGACAACGATCGCACGCTCCCGACTATCCAGCGACGTCAAGCTGGCTTTTGAGCTGGTGGTCATGGTCGCCGTCCTCTACTATGTCGATCTCACGTTGGACATTCAAGCTTGCATAACTTTCTGGCAGACAGGGAACCCCAAGTTCTTCCTGACCAATGCGATGGCCTCGGTTGAGCTATCCGCAGCTGCATGCTGTGTTTTGCCTCATACGAAGGTCTGAAAGCCTCCTTGACTCCTTGGGAGTGCATCCGGTGGAACCCCAGATTCTGCAACTAGTCTTGCCCTGTCCCCAAACCCCAACCCCAAACCCTCATGTCAAAGACACAAGCCTAGGCGAAACCACTGATTGCGGGGACGAGAGTTTTGCGCATGGATTTCTGGGCTTCACGGGCGAAAACGCGAAAAAGCTTGGTCAACATCACCACTGCCACCAGGCTTTCGACACGTGAAACACTGCGCACAGCGGTGTTGTCGATATGCGCCGAGTGCAATTTCCAAACTGCTTGCTTTTTGAACGCGAGAACACTGCGCACAGCGGCCTTTTCAACGCAAGCCACGTGCGCTTCTCAGAGTGGTTTTTCCCACATATCGTCAATCAAGGCCTCCCCCCCAAACCCCTCAACAAGACCTCCGAAAGTCCCCCCCCCCCCCCCCCCCCCCCCCCCCCCCTCTGGCAACCACACGTCTGAAAGCCCCAGCACCGAAGAAAGCCTGAAACGTGCAAAAGCCCTCGGGTCCACAAGTAGCGGCGTTAGCTTCAACCCTCAAGGCAGCCCCAAACCCTAAAGAATAACGCGAAGCCCACCATTTCGTTAGCCTCGGCTTGCTCCTGACTCAAGCAAGGTATGTATACCGGCAGAAATGACAGGTTTCGGTGATCTGCATAAAGAGTGGTAGGTTTCTTGATTGGAATCTACATATGAACGATACGATCTGGGAATCTCCTTGAGGAGGACAACATTTGGGTAAGATTTACACAATGGAATGTGCAGCGGTGTGGGCGGTTGGGGGGGCATCTGCACATTGCAAAGTGAGACGAACAGTGACAGCACGAACGCGGCATCGCGTACTCTGCATGCTTTGTGGCTCACGTGGTTTTGGGGAGCGGATTGGGAAAAAGACCTATAACATCACATAGCAGAAGCTTCATAGTGATGCTCGTTTAATCATATGCTTTATACTAGTTTGTTTTTGGACGAGGGTCGAACTGTTTTGTTTGTTAATCCGGAAGATCTTAAGGACACCTCATAACCACAGAGACGGACACTGATACAGCCTGGAGAATTGGACAACCGCTTTGCCCCAAGTATGGTGATGTAGTGGAATTATTTCGCAAAACGTGACGAAGTGTTGAAGAAGAACTTGCCATGCATTGTATCCCCGAACGGACGAATCAATCAACAGCAGAGGCGATATTTGTGGGATGCAGTTTAAGAGTCACTCTGCAATTAGAAAGGTCATGTTTGGGAAAAACGACCGGTGACGGCAGCCATGTATCATCTTGTGAAAGAGCAAGTAATGACTGTTGGAATCGCGTGGGAGAATGGGGAAACTAAAGACCGTAAAACAACAAACTTTCACTGTGTTACCGTGTTAGCGATGGCGCTTTTACAAACCCTCGAGGTTTCATTTCAAAGTGTAAATGGGACTTTCCAATATCATTCAGGATGGTACAATCCTCGACACTGGGAGATTTCGTATCGACTTGTTCGCAGTTCCTTTGCGTGCTATCGCTGTCCGCATGTTTCGTCGGATCGAAGGAGAGTCCTGCATGTGGCTCATCCTTTCATGTGCACACACACACACACGCTGTGCTCGATCCACTTGCATGATTGATCTGTATCATGTATCTCACCAGTCATGCTGCTCTGGGCTATCTGTGTAGCTCCTGTTCGATATATCTGTCTTGGCATTGCAAGCCACGGGCTGTGGCGAGCGCGCCAAAAAGGGGCTCCCGTGTCTGTGTCTTTGGAGTCCTCTTTGCGAAGCCTAGGTGATGGCCATGTTGGCTGCTGCCATGTACACGGCATATCACATCTTCTCCCATGGCGACACGCTTTTGTCTGATCTTTCCAGAAACGAGACCTTCGCGCTGGGTGTTTCATATGTATTCCAGCTGCATATCTTGGTTCTCTGCTGGATAAGTTGGAAACGCGGCAAGAAGCACCAGCTTCTGATCGATTCCAAGTTTGCAGAGGCTGCTATTGAGGCTGTGGTCTCTTCGCTTGTCCAGACGTACGCGGTGATCTTCGGGGCGAGGACATTGTCACACTACCAGCAGCTCACCCTGTACATGTCAATTTTGGGAAGCCTCGCCTCCATCTCTAACGCCTTCACGCTTTTTGACTCGCCGAGTGGAATTGATCAGGCACCAGGCAATGAGACCTCCCCGGTCAGCCCACGGCTTCTCTTAGTGAATGCTTTTCGGTTGTGTGAGCTGACCAACAAGATCACGGGCCTCTCCCTTTTTCAACTGGCCTTCCGGCCATACGGCGGCTGCTTTGCTGCCGCAGCAAGCTACCTGTCCTTCACAGTGTCAATCTGGCTCTCACAAGGGCAGGCGAGCTTCGCCCTGCCTTGCGTCTTTGCGCTGATCAACCCGATGCTCGAAACGCACAACGCAGTCACGATGCCCCACGTGGTCTACTACAGCCTGCGCCTGGCCGAGACCACCATCATGGTGGTGCTTGTATGGTTCGTGGCTGATGTCGATGTGTTTTCATTGTATCGGGATTGCTTCCCTGCAGTTGCAGCCTTCGTGGCGAGTGGGATTGGAATGGTGATCTTGTTACCTGCTGTGCGGTGCTTGGCGTCTCCAGGTATGGCGAATCAAAAGGTCTACACCACCGCACAGTGGGCGCTCAAACCGTTCAGCAGAGCTCAGCTCAAGTTGCGAGATGCCACCTTGAAATTCAACCATGAGGAGCTGGCTCCACCCCGTTAGGAACGCAGTAGCCACTGACCCTTAACGCTTATACCTAACGACCCTACGTGCAATCAGCAGTAAGTTTCAAGGGTTTGTGCTGTGTGCGGAGATTGTGGGCAGAGAGCAAGCATGCACAAGTACTGTTGAGGAGGCGGCGGCGGTGATGTTGCTGCCTGCGCAACAGGTCATGGAGGTGGCCCACAACATCAACCGCACGAACCTGGAAACTTCACTTTTCTTAAGGTACTTTTTTTGACGTAAAATGTGAAGGTCTAAGGGTGGTACAGACTGTGCAGTAACAGGGTCAATTCCTTTTGACTGTAAAAAAAAACGGTCTACGTATGAAGTACTGTTAAGAATACCTGCGCAAGAAGTGTCAAGCAAAGGAGCCTCTGTCTCTACTTTAACGAAGTCAGGATCTGTGTAGATTCTGCCTTCACAAAGGATGCCTTCATGGAGTTACTGAATGAGCCCCCCATCCTGCACAACTTATCGCCACCGCCACCGGCCTTCATGTACAAGGCCCTCCATATCCTGGGCAACACACCCCTGGAGGCTGCCGACCAAAAGCTGCGCCACGGGCTCCTGACCTTTGCACTTCAGGCCCTCTTGGACCATCCGACGACAATGGTGCGGATCTTCATGGAGACGCGGGCCATTGACGCAGTTTCAAGGCAGATTCTGGCAGAGTGCTCCATCACCCCAGCGGGCTTGCAGGCAGTGCTTGCGCAGTGCTTGTCAGATAACAGAGGTTCCCTAAACTTGTGCTCCATGGAATGCGGCGAGGTGGAGCTACCTGGAGAGATTTGTCAGCTGTTCCTATCCGTGACCTGGCTTTGAAGAGTCGGAACTTGCAACTAGTAGATGCAGAGGTTGTAGGTTCTGCCGGTGAGGTGAGGTTCCGAAGCGATGAAGAGAAGTACAGGAACTGATGAATTGCCAAAAAAGAAAGCACCATTGGAGTGGAGTCGCCTGAGTGTCCTAGCCCCCTGTAGGCACTTAAGAGACTGAACCCCCGTGCAAGGCTTCCAGCACGTTGCTGCGGCAAAACGACGTGCCTGGCCTACAGCGGCTGCAGACTTCGCAGTTGGACGCTTTCCCGCAAAATAGGCTTGAGAGAAGAGAACATTTGGGGGCTGAATCATGTTTTGTTGGTCAAAGTTTGTGCGTGCAGTGAGGCTCGGGCCCTGGCCGCCGTGTCCTTGGAGCAGTGCTTGGATTTGAAACATCAGAAGGACCCGGAATTTTCGATCTCGTTATTGTTCTGTATTATTCTTTTTCTTGGGGGTGCTCAGAGCAACCTTGGGCCGCCGCTGCTCCGGGTTTTTTCGTATTTGAACCAGGAGCTCGTCCTGGCACTCGCCTGCCTTTATCGCGCCGAGCCGTCCCAAAGAAGCGGCATCAGCCGCCGAGCTGTTTCAGCGGAGTCGTTGCTTGAGTCTTTTGCTTTGCGCCGTTGTTGAAAACCATGCCGAACCTCTCAAAGAGCAGCTTCGTTGATTCATGAATCCCCTTCTTTCCCCCCCAAGGAAATGGGATCATGTTGGGCTGTGCTCTGCTCTGAGGCGATCTTCGGCTTCGAAGCGTCTTCGCTGGAGCGATGGGAGACGGCTCTCTGGAACTTCTCTGAGCCCTTGCCGCAAGCCGCAGACAAGCCGTGCGAAAGCTTTTCAGGCTTGAAAGCTCCGGCTCTTGTTTTTTTTGTAATACACTCAGGGCCCACGCAGGACGCAGGAACGCTTTGGGGGGGGCACCTGTTGCACTCAGGCGCGGTGCCGCGCTTGTTCAGCGCACTATCGGCAGACCCAGCAGTTCGAACATGCTTCCAGGCCAGCTCTTGCACAGCCGTGAAGAGCCTGCATGATCCTGTATGAAATTCGCATGGAGAGTCCCGTTGAACAGGTGTCGGCAAGCTATCTGGTACCTTATCTCTGCCAGGCGAAGGGTTTAGGGTTTAGGACGAGAGGTTATGAGTGACAAGCGTTATTAAGGCATCTTGCCGGGCACTACGGGGCAGACAGATTGCAGTTGCTTAGCGAAGCGATGCCTAGTAGGAAAAGGTATACCTTCATGGTGAACGTCTTGCTCTTCATCACCGCGGTGTCAGAAGCGTCGCGATAACTTCAACCCACATCATGCGAACAGGACGATACCGGTAACGATCTCCTGGTGATACCAGCTTTATACTCATGCTCTTGAATGCCAGCGCCATGGGCCCTTGAGTCTGTAGCTATGCTTCACGTGCCACCCCCACGTCACGCGTTCCTACTGCTGGGAAACTAGGCTTTCCGTTACACTACAGGCGATAACCTGCCTCCCCAGGCTAAGCCACGGCTTGGCGAAGCAATACCTGATACTAAACCGATACCCCGGCACATAAGTCCAATTGTGGTCCTTCGCCGCCCGCTCTCATGGTGCTAGGAGTAGTACCTGTCTGGGCTTCCCCTCTCCCTGCCAGATACTGAACCGCCTTGACGCTGAAATTGCAAGCAAAGCTGACACAAGGCACCTCGGCTTAGAGAGGTTCCGGCTTAGGCACAGCCACAGTCACAGTCAGTCGCAGTCAGTCGCAGTCAGTCGTAGTATACTTCTAAAAGACACGCAAAGCACGCAGTGCGCTCAGTGCATGCACAGCATGCAGAGCTTAGGCAGGAGGACTACCAGCCGCTGTTGCTTGGCAACAACAACGAACCGATGGCCTCGAGTGAGGCTTTGCGTTTCCGGCATGCGTCAAGAGCATGCACGAGGTCATCTGTTAGTTCACGGGCGAATGCATATAGAGTATAGAGACTGCTAGAGCCAGCAGCTGCTAGCAATTTGACAGACACCCTCCATAGGGCCAACGTTGCTCGGCTGGAGGACGTCGTGAATACAAGCATCGACTCACTTCTTCAATGCTTGCAGCTGGCTGCATCTGGGTCGCAGGTAGCAGAAGTATGAGCATGGCAGAGGATCCCGGCTCTCTAAGCAGAAAATGGAAACCAGCAAAAAAACACAAAGACGTGGCAGAACATGGAGCGGGTGAGGTGCAGCACTTGGATGCGACGGATGTTTCGAGCTGTTCCTACGACTTGCAACTCTTTGCCACATGGATTGCATTGCGAGTCCATTGCTTCCTGGCGAGGGCATTGCATCGAATCCCCAAAGCCCACTTGCTCAGGTACAGCGGGCCCAGTCCGACGCCAAAGAAGACAGCAGACAGAGCGTCGCCCAGAAGGCACATGCCTGGATGGCAGATGCAGACTTCAATGGTTCAAAAAGGAGGGGGGTACCTGTTTTGTCTTGTTCAACACTCCAAGCAGCTCCCAATGAGAGGTGCGTTTGCTGATCGGGGCCAAAGGCCTCTTACGGCAGCTGGAGGGTGCGGATGGAAGCATTGAGTGGCGCGGTACGCCTCCTGGACTGGAGAAGCCCTTGCTCCAGGCTCGTGAATCACTGCACATCACTGCACTTTGCATTTCCAGAGAAGTGAAAAGATTAATTAGTGCTTCCGAACTTCCCCCTTTCATGATTGACCGGTGGCCCACGATGTGTCACCAGGTGGCGATCGAGTCTGGTAGCTTGGCTGCTGTGAACTTTCTGCTCTCGAAGCGAGCTGATGTGACTTCACGGGCCAGTACAGGCCACTCGGCCTTCCATGTAGCTTTGTCCCTTGGGGATGCAGACACCCTGGGGGCCTTGGAGACCAGCTTGACAACAGCAAGCTTGCCGGATGGTGCGCTCTTCGCGGGCAGCTGCGAGGCTGGACATGATCTTGAGCACTACACGGCAAAGACCGCCTCGCGAAATGAGTCCAGCAGCCTCGCTGTGAATGTCCGTTTGGGGCTCTGGACCCGAGCCCGAGGATCGCAGTTTTATCTTCGGCTCCGGCACGGGCAACTTGTTGCGACCTTCATGACAGGTGAAGAAGCCTGGTGCTGTGACTCCAAGGTGGAGATTGGCAGCCAGGTGGAGCTCCGATGGAGCAGTTGGGACAAGGCTCAGGAACGCTGGGCTCAAGGTATGGCAGGCCCTCTGCGCATGGTTCTGCAGGTTCTGTCGAAAGACTCGCTGCTCATCATGGGTGAGGAGCCGGCTTACTTCTCCCACTGGAACTCAGCAGGCTACGAGGGTCAGGTGCTCTTCGATGGAGTGAGTGTCCTCTTCGATGGACAAGGAGACCAGACGAGGAAAGGGGATATGGACTACGTGAACGTCTTCGGTCGCGAGGCTTGCATGGATGGTCAGCATTATTACGAGTTCAAGATCCGAAAGGTTGTTTGCAACTTGGCCATGGGCCTCACTCTGCCCGAAGCGTTGCATTTCAAGGAGGGCGATATCACTATGAGGTGTCAGAGCTGGAGCGTCCGATTTAAGCCGCAGTACAACAGGAACGAGCTTGTGCTCGGTCGGAAGGTTATCAAAATCAAGAAGCCACTTGAGCCTCACTCAAACACTGTCGGCATGCTTGTTGATATGACAAAGCGTGCCGTTCTGTTTCTGCTGAACGGCGAGATCTTGTGTGATCCATGTCGCGACCTGCCAGAAACGCTCTACCTCATGGCCACCTTGGATACAGAGGGTGATCACTTTGAAGTGTCACAGCCCAGCCCTCCAAAGAAGGCTGTTGAAAGCTTGCAGAAGATAAGCGCATGCGGTGAGGTCTCATCCTGGATGTGTGATGATTGCCTGTGCACCTATTCACGGATCCAGAACACCCCGCAAGTCCATCGCTGGGCATGCCGGAGATGTGGGGCCACTCTTTGTGAGGGCTGTCGCATGGGAATCGGCAACCTGCCAAGCGGCTACTGCGGTTTGAGCGTGAGTGCATGGCGGGATTCGGGCGTGCTAGCCATCGACGATGATGCAGCGTCGTTGCATGGGTTCAGGATGATGCTGACAAAGCAGATGTGCTGGAGCAGAGGTCAGCTCATCGACAGCTTGTTTTTGGCCTGTCTTGCCAACCATGGCCATCACGCACTGCAGCTGCTGATGAAGATGCGTGAGAACATGCGACTCAGCTCAATCACTGTCCAAACCAACTTAAGAGTACTAAGTGCAAGGTCGGTTCTTGACGTGCACGTATTTGAGGCAAGCGGATGTGCCCATCACCTTCGTCGGTCGCTTCAATTTGCCAAGCCTCCTGATTAAGCCTTCGATAGAGAAAATTGCCAAGATGGCCTTGTCGATCGGGATCTTTGCTGCGCGGCCATTGGCGGTGGATGCAGCTTTGGTTTTCCTGAAATCCTTGAAGTCCTTGGAGTCAGAAGAAGGGCTGGAAAGGAGTAAGTCGTCAGCTTCGGGATTCTCGGTTGCGCCTGCCTATGACTCGGCCGACGACGACATGGCACAATCTGGTCGGGACGCTCGGCATGTAGCACCCTGGTTTCAGAATCTGAACTTACCAACGTTGCTTTGCGCCTTGCGTAGCTACTGTGCGACGGGCCGACAACTTCCGCGCCATGCGCATGCTCTGTATCCAATCTGTGCAGCAGAGAATGGCTGTAGTACCTGCCCGCGCGAGCTGGCTGAGTATGCTTGTGCCTTGGCTGCCTTTGGAAGGCTTTTTGGCTTTTGCTGAAGGCGGATGAATCAACGGTGCCTGGGTTGAGTCTTGCATCGAGGTGACACCTGCCATTTCTTCCAGTGCCACCAGTGCTTCCATTTGTCAGAGCGGCCTATTCCTTCACAGCAGGAGGACTGTGCCACCGTCATCGCCCGGCTCTTGAGGGAAGATCCCTCTTGTCTGGATGTCCGCCTGCCTGCTGAAATAAGGCCAGCTCTGGCTAAAAGCCAGTGCGGTACCTGCCGCTGCCAAAACACATCAGAGGGACAGCAAAATTTGTCGTCTAGACTTGGTGAAAACGTTGCATGTGGATTCTGCTTCGCTTATCGTAGCACGGGTGCCTTTCCAACTCGGTGGCATCATTCTCAGATACGTGCAAATGCAGGGCTGAAATGTTCTAACCGCACACATTCAACATGGCTGAAGGCACTAGTCGTTGTAAGGATGGGTCTCGCAGCACCTGCTGACAGCAAAGAACTGAAAAAGCTGCTCTTGGTGCGCAAGTTGGGCATGAGAATCTTCGGCCTTAGGTGTCAAAGATGTGATCTCCCTGGCCAGGATGGCACCTCAGGTGGGAGATCTCATGCTCAGGCCTGCGGGCCTTCAGCGCGAATTTGTCCGCGAGCCTGTTTACCGGGTGGAGAAGGATCCGGGCGGTCACCTGGTCTTGGCGCCCTTGGCAAAGAATGCTTCGCTGGCTTCTCAGGACTTCGATGACGTGGAGGCCGAAGTGGGTGCTGCCAAGACTATGAGGAGCGAGTGGACATCGGAATCAGAGGAAGAATCGGACATTTCCGACGAGTTCTCCGATGGTGAAGAGGATGACTTGGACAATGTGCCCAGCGTGGAGGAGGCGGTGCCGTTCTGGTTCTTCAGCTCGAGCTGCACCGCTCTGTGACTTGACACTTCATGGTCGCGTGATGTCGAAACATCGTGCTTGTAGTCTCATTGTGCATTCCATTGGGTGTTGTTTTCGTTTTGTTAATTAGCTGCAGTCATCGAAGCGCCAATTCCGAGTTGCTTCTGCTCCGTTCAGCCCCAGGCACCTGGCTGCGGGCTTGCCGTCTTCCAAGTTTCTGGGGCAGCTTCTTGGTGCTTATTTGCAGAGGGAGATGGAGACTACTGCAGATGTCACGCATACCGTCCAACGAGCAGACAAATCATGGGCTACAGAGGTGAGGAAGCAGATCCAATCATGGGTCAAAGACGGAGTGCTGTCTGAACGTGAGATACCACAGCGCATTTCGGTAGTCGACGCACAGAACCAGATGGTGCGGTGGCCACATGACCGTGCGGCGATGGCCCAAAGTCGGTGCCTTGTCTACTGTCCATCCCTGCCCCGGCCCTGGTACACAATACTTCTACTTCTTCTTCGCCGCGTCTCCGCAGTTGAAGTTCTGAAAGCCTTTCAGCCTCAGACCGGCTTCTGTCGGCACTAAACTCAACGTGGGTTTAGGGTTGAGGGTTTCTGCATGCCTGTAGGGAAAGAAGCGGCAGCGGAGCCGGAGAGAGCAGCCCGGTTAACGCTTTCAGGGGCAGCGTGGCCCTTCAAGCTTGCCACAGGTTCCCCTTGACCCTGCTTTGCCGCGGGGATCACTGGCTTTCCAGAAGGTGTCTTCGTACGCAAAGTAACCTGTCTTGATGTGCCGGGAGCTTTGTGTGTTGCGAGCTGTCGTAGGCAGTGCAGGGGATTGCGGGGCATGTCAACGAAACTGCACTCAACTCAATCAACCTGCTGCAGTCATGTGATACCGAGTCTGATCAACTCGGCATACTTGGCGTGCTTGCAGTGATGTAGCTGCGCACGGTTCGTCCGTGCCGGTGCGTGCAACTTAGAGTGGGCACAAGTATTCCACAAACTTGAGTTCGACATTACTAGATGAAAGGGATGCATCGCCGATTCAATCTAGTCATGTGTGCAGAAGCGCATTCCACAAGCTTGTGCTTGACTTTACTCTACTGGATGAAATCTGGCGCTTCATCAGACAGCTCCACTTATGGAAACGACTCCGACCCGGAGCAGCAGTCACGCATCTGTAGCGTGAGTGTGTGCAAGTGTCTGACTGCAGAGTACATGGCATGAGGGCACTCAATTCACTCGAGAATCGCCGTAGGTCCGATGATGGCGAAACCCCAGTGCATATTGCCGCCATGGCCAACAACACCGCGCAGCTGCAGTACTATCCTCATCATGATTCATGTGATGCATCTCTTTCGCGTCCATAGCGAGTGCTATTGTACCTCATGTGGCGACGCAGCATGTGCCGTGTGCTGAGGCTTCTTCTCGATGCAGGAGCTGATGCCACTGCTCAAGAGAACAGTCGCATGCCTGAACTGCCTAGTTGTGGATGCGGGTGGGCTTGTTGTATGCTGGTGCTGTTGATCCTGGACTATGCACGTGGCCCAGCGCCATGCTATGCCTTTTGCATCCCAGATGGACTGACCCCGTTGATGATAGCGGTGAAGATTCGTGGCACCTTGGCATGACCTGGTGCATATGCTAGTGTATACTACGGTATTGCAGGTTCAAGCGACTTGCAGAGTGCGTGGAATGTAGCTTCCTTGGCCAATCATGTCGTAATTGTCGTAATTCTTTCGAAATCTGCCTCTGGTGTCTCGAGTGCAATGCAGCTACTTCAAGTACCGAGGGGAGGATGCGGCTTTCCGGTTGATAGCACACATTGAGCAGAACCGTCCAGAAGCGATCAATGTCGCCGCTGCTCAGCTTCAGCTATGGGTTCACACATGTTTTGCACACTGTCCTCGCAGAAGCCCCGGAAGGCCGCGTTGTGTTCCTTGCAGGACCTGGAAGGCTGCACCGCCCTGCACTTTGCCGTGTTCCTCGTCGACACATTTGCTCTAACGCCTCCGCAGCTGTAAACCCTGTGGACCCTGTGAGACCCTGTGGAGACCCTGTGAGACCCTGTGAGACCCTGTGAGACCCTGTGAGACCCTGTGAGACCCTGTAGACCGTGTAGTAGATCCTTGAGCTTCACGCCCCAGCCCCCCGGCTACGTGTGGATCTTTTGTTGTGGAGCTGTTTAAGGTTCGCAGGGTCCATAGCGGCCACTCTGACAAAGCGCATTCTGGAAGCCCGGGCCAGCCCGATGCCAGCAAACAAGAACGGCCACACTCCTCTGATGCCGGGTGCTCAGGGGTGTTTGGGCAGCCAGTTTAGGGTATCTTGGCATGCACCTGGAGGCTGCAGGTGGCACAAGATCCGTCACATTGGGATGGGTTTGTAGGGTTTTGCGATGTTTCGCTGTCTGGTTCAGTTCAGGTCTAGTTCTTTGCAGCTCAGGGAGATTGCCCTGGACGTGGAAGCATGCTTGTGTAGGTCCTCCTGTCAGCAGTACTGTAGCAACATTCCTGATCAATGGCCAAAACTCCAATCCTGGAAAGTGCCTATGTGGATTACATGCCCCAAAAAGCACTCCCCCCACCTCCCGAAACTCCCGAAACTCCCGGAATCTCCCGGACCCAGAGGCTCGCCATAAAGCAAGGGGCTGCGGAGGTCGCAGACGTGTTCGTGGGGTCGGGCTCGTGGTCGGAGGAGGCCATGCGAGCTTTGTCGTGGGGGTGTCAAGGTTCGTACAACGTTGTTGATGTGGTAGTATGCTAATGCTGCTTTCACGCCTTCGCTGTCGCTTCGGGCTGGTTTGCACTAGGTTGGAAGCGAGTCTGCCACAGGCTTTGCCCACTTTGACCTGAACTTAAACAAGCGATCCACAGTCTGGCCCAAGGTGAGCAAGACGCTGGATGAAAAGGACAAGGAGTTGCTTCGAGCAACATTTAGCATCCATTAGTGGCTCTAATCGCCGAAGCCCTCAAGGGTGCATCACACCAATTCCTCAGGACTTGACTTGATGTTTCCAACAAGCTGCTTTGCACAAGTGTCGGCAACCAGGAAACATACCGAAAGAGCGCCAACGGCGCTAGGGCGCAGCAAGTATGATTCTGATGCAAGAACGCGTGCATCAACAAGACATTGCCAGAGCAGCAATCTATGAGACATCATGAAAGATTCCATGATTTCCGCGCCAAGGGCCGGTCGCTCAGCGCTAATGATGGTTGCGGATCGGAATCTGGAAGATCTCGCCGAGCTGTTGCTGGAAGCTGGCGCAAAGCTGGATGAAGTGGACAAAGACAAAAAGTCCCCTCTAGAGATCGAGTCTTGTCAGCATATCTCTCAAGTCGGATCTTGCAAACATGCAACATGTTGTGTGCTTCGCTTTCACGTGGCCGCATGGCTTCAGGCCAAAACGGAAGGTATGATAAAGATCCTATGCTCGGGGAAAGACGAGTTCCTTGGGACGAGTGAAAGTCAGGCTTGGGTTTGTATTTGAGGTCTGGCACTGGTGTATGTTTAATGGGAGCCTGCCGTCAGCTGAGGCCTCCACTGACATCTGCCCGGGGCGGCTCGGTTCTAAAGTGGCTCCTTGAGAAGCACGGCCATGGCCAATCATTGGCAGAGGCCCTGCGAGAAAACGTGCCTTTGTCTCGGCTGGTGGAGGCGGGACAGGGATCTGCCTCCGTGCCCGAGATGGAGATCCTCCTGCACTGGACTGCGGAGGAAGCAAAAACCCTCTCTGAAGAGGATCGTGAGGCGAGGTTCCAGGAAGTCATTTCCGGCGTATCCGATCAGGACACGCTCTCGGATGTGTTGGTCTGCACAACACAACGCAACACGTCCTACATCTCGGTGGCCACCTTTCTGTTGAAGCAAGGTGCCCGCGCTCGAGATGCCATTGCCCTGGCGATCCGGCGCAAGAGGGTAGCACTCGTGAGCCAGCTGCTGGATGTGGCGAAGATCACCGCGGAGGGTCGTGCTGCAGCCGAGCAGGCAGAGGGTCGTGGCGAGGGGGCCGAAGTGGCCGAAGAAGCGGCCGAGGAGGCCGAGAGGGCCGAGGCCTCGGGCAGCGGCGGGGGCCTGGAGTTGTTGAGCGCGGTCCTGGAGAAAGTGGAAGGAGAGGTCCAGAACATGGATCCTGATCTCTCTGCCAAAGAGATGCTTCAGGTGCTGGGTAAAGTGGCCTATGGTGCTGAGCAGTGGGCCAAAATCGAAGGAAAGGTAAAGGGTTTGCATCCCGTGCGACAACCTGCAGAATATAAGAAGTGGGTTCTCCAAGGGCTTCAAGACCTGGCCACCTGGAAGAAGGAGCAGGCGCAGCAAGCGCAAGCAAAGAAGCAAGCTGCCCAAGAGGCAACGACGAAGCGCGCGCGACTCGATTCCGACTATGAGGACATGCTGGATCAGTGCAGTGACGACGAGGATGATTGGTCGTCCACAGAAACTGAGACGGTTACGCAAGCAGTTTCAGGAGCCGCGGCAACGCCGGCTCCCACCCAGAAATGAGTGGTCTCTAGATGATTCTAGATGTGTGTGACATTGAATTCAACAGACGTGGCCTGTTTGTAAAGCAATTCATTACTGAGATCTTTCGGCAAAGCACCTGTTCTGCGCAACTATGCACAGATATGCAGAAGTATGTGGAGTCCAGTACGTGCCGAAAGCGGTGCAACTGTGACTCGCAGCAGCAGCAGCAGCACAACTTTCGCAGGAACACCGGAAATGGATGCACCAGATGACCGTTTGGTGACTGCAAAAGCAGCTTGAGAGGCTGAGCGAATACTGCGTCCTGGGCTCTGAAAGCTTCAGAACTGAAGGCCTCCGACGACATATCCGCAGCAAGTCGGCACCTGCCTCCCACAAACCAAGGTTAATTCAGACGGTTTGGTGCAAGGGGATTTCCGAGTTGCCAGCTTCATCGTACTGGTACGCACTGGCACAGCCTGCGCCCAACTTTCTGCAATGGGTGTGAGAAAGCAGATCCGAAAGGCCCGCCTTGGCGCGTCATGTGTTGTTTGCGTAATGGGATTGGGGAGCAAGCAGACCAGGACGGTGATGGTCGGACATTTCCGAAGAAGGGAGACAAGTTAAAGACGCCTGGCTTTGAGCTTTGACTCATCGACGGTCCGCTGACCGTCCGTAGGACTCTGTCAGTGTGTCAGAGAGTGTGAGTGTGTGTGGAAGCGTTTGTGGGCCGAGGATGCACTACGTTGGAACTTTTGCCAACACGGGCGAGGTATTCGACTCCTCTCGCGGCAAAGAGCCCATCGAATTCACGGTGGGCGTTGGACAGGCCAGGCGCTTGGACAGGAAAGGGAAGGAAGGGGTGGTGGGTGGCGGGTGCCTACTGTGCCTACTAGCGTGGTCAATTCTGGGGATCCAATGTCCAAACTTACCTCGAACATGCCCATGGACAGAAGCGCGAGCCGAGGTAGTGAAGATTGCAGTGAGTCTTTGGGTGCCACGAGCATCAGATGCAACTCAAAGCTTTCTGAGGTGATTAGAGGATGGGATGAGGGTGACACTCGGACTGCACGGAGATTCTGTGCCACGTCATGTCGGTTCTCGAATCGGATTGTCGTTCCATGCTCCTTTGCTCATTCCTTTTGAGTCTGAGTCAGGTCATGCAGATGTCGAAGGGTGAGCATGCCATCTTGGAGATTACGTCGGACTTTGCGTGACCTGCGCACTTGAAAGCCATCAGTGCTTGAGGACCGATTCGGTTCAGCTCAACTTATATGTGATTAATTGAGACTTTGCTGGACCACTCGGCAGACAGCCGTGAGGTACGGCCGAGCCGGAGTCAGGGGACTGATCCCACCCAACGCAAACTTGGTGTTCGAGGCAGTGCGCCTGTGCAGCCTCAACATGCACTGTGCCCACAGCGAGAGTCCAGTAGCCGAGCCTTCGAAGGTTGAGCTATTGGAGGTCGGCAATCCCAAGGACAGCTCTGTGGATGCTGCGAGGAGCAAGCGCACTTCAGAGATTCAGATTGCTGTGAGGATGCCATGGATCATGCACTGTCCTGTGCATGCTACGCAGGCGCACGCCCATTTTATCAGTTCTCTGTTCTTTTCGGTTGTCTCCTGCTAGGGCTAGGTGTGCCTCCGCATGCTGACTTAGCCTGTTGTCTGCTGGATCACGAGTCGGCAATCTTCGTCCAGTCCCGGAGAGCCTTGAAGTTCACCAAACGCTGGCTTCTTACTTTCGAGGTGTCGCGATCCTTGTGCTGAAAGTCTGTGGTTGCGTTTGAAGTGCCCGCAGACTTGTGGAAGCCGGGCCCTTAGTCTTTCTGAACTCGAAGGCCAGACTGATAGCAGACGCAGAGTAAATGCTTTGTTTGCTTTGCTTACTTTGCTTGCTCCAGGAGAAGAGAGGGTGATTCGTGCAGGCGATTCCCTCAAAACGCGGGCCTGCTTGTTCGGGCAAGCTTGGCTGCGTGCAGCGGCCACATGTCTGTAAATGCCTCTAACTCTAACGTGCTGACTGTTATCTTTGCTGGTTCCGCCGCTGGCATGTTTATCTGCTCCAACGTGGAGGCCAACGAGGCCAAACTCAGGTGAGCTGAGAGCGAGTGTGGAAAACAGTGGCTTGTGCACCGACGAGTGACGAAGTCTGGGCTACATATGGCTGCATGGCAGCACGCAAGCATTGCCCAAGGGGCTGTCCAAACCTGGCATTGCTGGCTGCTGGGCCGTTGCGGTTGCACGAGCGTTGGCTTGCAGATCAATGCCAGAGCAGTCATCAGCTGACATGCAGCATGAGTAGCATGAGTATTTTCTTTCTGCCATATGTGGAAGGAGTCTTTCTCTGATGCTTCTGTAGCCGATACTAGTAACTACACAACGCAAGCCTCGTGTGGCCCAAAGAAGCATTCCCAACACAGAGCCCGTACAGAACCTGGAGCCATGATATCGGCGAACCTTGGAAAACACGCAGTCAATGTGGACGTCGTCTCAGACTCCGATGATGGCAGCTGGGTCCCAACATCTACTTGCCAATGCGCACACACACACAGACACACACACAGACACAGAGACACAGAGCTTCAGCAGCCAGCTTTCGGCATCATCGTTGCGATTCGCATTCTGAGGTGGCTGGATGGTCTTCGACATCACGGCTGCAGGCTTTGGCTCCGAAGACATGGTCCTGCACTGGGGTGTGGGCAAACAGCCTTTGGGACCAAAAGGAGGTGTCAGGGTTTACCCAGTGTTTGCTCTCTGAGGATTTGGGGCTCGTAGGGTTGGTACGTGCTACAAGGAGCAAGCCCTGAAGCATCAGGAACGCCGAGGAGTGGGTTGTGCCTGTGGAGATCCAGGCGCGCACGACCCCAGCAGCCAACCGAGTTCCAGGTGGGCGGAATATACACTCAGCAAACATCAAGCAAACATCGGTGTGGAATTGTGCCATTGCTTTTCGGAGGCAAGTTCCGACAGTTCGGCTGCCTTGGGTTACCTTAGTTTAATTACTCAGGTAACTACACTGTACGTGATGGTACATGTCATATCGCAATTGCGGACATGCTAAACTGCGCATTTATCTTCCCTATCGAGGACCATGCCCCAGGAATCCCCTGTCAGGTGCCTTGCAGACGCCCTTTCCACCACCTGATGGGCAGAACATACGAAAAGTGCGGTTGGAGATCAACACAGATGCGGGCCTGAAGCTCGCCTAAAAGAGACACAGCTTTCGAGGTAATTCTGTCATGGCGCTTAAGCAGGAGGCTGGTTGAGGGTTTTAAGGCTTGTGCAGGGGACATATGCCTCGTTGGGGACGCTGGACAGGGGATGTCATCCATCTGTGCGAAGGAAAGGCTGCCAGTTCGTCTTGCACAAGAAGCCAAACGAGCAACCTGCCGCATTTTGGTACGTGGATTTGGGAGCATGACCCCAAAATGAGCCCCAGTCTTAAGAACCTTCCAAATGGTCTGAAGAGTCAAGCAGTCCCAGGTGGTTGAAGAATGGGTCCAGGAATTTCTTCCTCGACTTTTCCAAGGCCGCTGACTGCTCGCCGAACTAGTTAAACCCCCAAACTAGCCGTCCAGTACTCGCATGCGATCTTTGGGGTGACAATGTGTGTCCGATGATCTCACCATCCTGAAGCTCCTCCTGATGGTGCAGGTGGCGGATAGCCGTGGCTTCCGTGATCTCGTGACAAAAGCGACGAAAGACAAGCCATCTGCCAAGGCCCGTGCACTTTGATTGCGAGTGCAAGTAGGCTGCACCTTGTACAGCCTTTCACCACAACTTCAGTAGGCAAGAAAAACTGCAGCTAGCAGAATGGCTCCGGCAAATCTGAAAACTCCTTTTTCCCGAAAGCATCGCGAAGGGTTCTTCCGTGCGGAGCCCTCTGACCCAACAACATAGAGTGAAGTGCATAGAGTGAAGTGCATAGAGTGAAGTGAATAGAGTGAAGTGCATAGAGTGAAGTTCATAGAGTGAAGTGCATAGAGTGAAGTGCATAGAGTGAAGTGCATAGAGTGAAGTGCATAGAGTGAAGTGCATAGAGTGAATTGCATAGAGTGAATTGCATAGAGTGAATTGCATAGAGTGAAGTACAAGTTAATAGAAATCACGAGATTTACGTAGAATTTAGTAGACCTTCGTACCCAGTCCTAGATTTCTAAATTAAAATTACTCTTTCTAAGGCGGCGGGCTGGGTTGACATCGCCAATCGGAATTGCAACCCTCTGCGGGTTTCGGCGTGGTGGCGATGCCAAAACCGTCGTTTTTTGACGTTTCTTTCTGTGCGCGGACAACCCTCTGCGGGTTTCGGCGTGATCGCGGTGCTAAAACCGTCGTTTTTTGACGTTTCTTTCTGACCGCGGACAACCCTCTGCGGGTAATCGCCGGGTCGCGGTGCTAAAACCGTCGTTTTTGGTACTTTTTTTCGTGGGCGCAGACAACCCTCTGCGGGTTTCGGCGTTGGCGCGGTGCCAAAGCCGTCGTGTTTTTGCGTTTTTTGACATACAAACGTAACCCCTCTGCGGGTTTTCGCGTGGTCGCGGTGCCAAAGCCGTCGTGTTTTTGCGTTTCTTGACATACAAACGTAACCCCTCTGCGGGTTTTCGCGTGGTCGCGGTGCCAATACCGTCTTGTTTTTACGTTTTTTGACATACAATCGTAACCCCTCTGCGGGTTTTCGCGTGGTCGCGGTGCTAAAACCGTAGTGTTTTTGCGTTTTTTCCCGAAAGCATCGCGAAGGGTTCTTCCGTGCGGAGCCCTCTGACCCAACAACATAGAGTGAAGTGCATAGAGTGAAGTGCATAGAGTGAAGTGCGTAGAGTGAAGTGCATAGAGTGAAGTGCATAGAGTGAAGTGCATAGAGTGAAGTGCATAGAGTGAAGTGCATAGAGTGAAGTGCATAGAGTGAAGTGCATGGAGTGAAGTGCATGGAGTGAAGTGCATAGAGTGAAGTGCATAGAGTGAAGTGCATAGAGTGAAGTGCATAGAGTGAAGTGCATAGAGTGAAGTGCATAGAGTGAAGCGCATAGAGTGAATCGCATAGAGTGAATTGCATAGAGTGAAGTACAAGTTAATAGAAATCGCGAGATTTACGTAGAATTTAGTAGACCTTCGTACCCAGTCCTAGATTTCTGAATTAAAATTACTCTTTCTAAGGCCGCGGGCTGGGTTGACGTCGCGGGTACCGCTGCTTCTCCGCGGGCGAGCAGCTGTTCCTCATCGAGACTCTGGGCAGCGGCTCCACGCAGGGCGCCATGGTGGACATCGCGATGGCTCGCGCTCCAATGAAAGCGCAAGTGCTCGGCGTCATTTTTTTGCGGGCAGCGTCGAGTTTGAGAATTACGACCACTTCGATGCTCATCGACCGGATACCCTGATCGAGCAGGGTAGCTTCTATGATTGGTGGACGTCGGAGCCCAAGACACTGTTCGGTTGGTACGTGCAGCACGTTCGTGCCTTCAAGCGGCCTGTGGCAGTGGGGCACGCGCGGAAGTCCATGCTCGGCTGGACCAAGCCGGTAGAGCTGTTGGTGGACTTCAAGAGCAGAAGCCCCCGGCCACCAGTCCCTTGAGGAGACGCCCTTGAAATTGAAGTACTCGGGACTTTTTTTTGAACTTCTTGTCCCACGAATTTTAAATAGTCTTCAGGGCCCAAGCCCGGCGCTGCATGCTGTCTTGCGAAAGGTTGGATATTTATGTCTTTTCTTTCATGGCTTCGCGTGGATTGGACGTGCGCAGCCGAGTCGGGTGCATACAAGTGAAGTTCTTACAGTTGCTCAAGTGCATTAAGTTGAGAAATGCCGACTTCAAGTCCGTTAACTTCAGATGTATTGACTTCCAATGACGTTAATAGAGTTGACCACAAGTGCATGGCATTCAAGTCAACCAAGTGCAGTGTGCAAGTGAGTATGCAACCATATAAGTGCATACAATTGTCCAAGTGCATGCAGTTCGAGTGCATAGAGTGAAGTGCATAGAGTCAACACACGGCAAATCGATGCTTTCGGGCCAATCGTCTGCTAGTTTCTAGTCCAGAGTCCTTTTGTGGCCTCCTAATGCCTCTACGCATGAAGACATCCAGGGGCCTGGGACAGCCCCTCAATTTGTCCCGCAATGGATTGTGCCAAACACGCTCCCTCAGCCCATAAAATTTGGGATTGTTGCCTTCAGGGTTGTTTCAGTTTCTCTCCGCCCTCAGAAGCCGGAGTGGGCTGTTTGAGGAGTTTCTTTGCTTGTATCTTTGGATGACTCATTTTTGCTGCCCTTTTGCAGCGTTATAGCATGTGTGCCTCCCCCAATTGACATCGGGAAAGGGTGTCGCAACAATTCTGCGGACGGCGCAAGCTGAGTCAACATGCTCAACAACCAGTCCGGGCTAGGTCTTGTTTCAGCATTGGGCACGACAAGAAGCTTCCAGGGCTGGCAGATATGCAGATGCTTGCGAATCGCCGCCTTTGCGTTCCCCAGGTGTCCTGCTACAGCTCAAGCGGAATTGAAGTGGCAATACTCGCGTCTGCAGATGGCTGGTGGCTTAGAGCTGTAGTGAGTATCATTATCAAACACGCAGATAGCATCGTGCACTTTCTTTTTCTGTTGAGGTGAGTGCTGCGATGTACAGGCGATTGTCCGCTCCGGGCGCGAGTCTTGACAACAATTGGCAGTGCCACGCTCTTCATCACCTCCTTCACGTCTGTTGAGATGAATGTCCTGTTCACCTGAGCCAGAGTCTCCAACAGAATGCTCACTGCTGTGGTGTGGGCACGTGTGAACAGCAGAGCTATCACTCTCAGGACTTGGTGCTCCAGTATGGCCCAGCAGGGGACGATCGTCGATGGACGTCCTCGACCAGGCAACTCCCTTTTTTCTCGGTTTATTGCTGGCGTTCTTCCCGTTCTTCATACCTTGGCAGGTTAAGCCTGCAAAAGAGTGGTGGAGACATCTACAAGGCTGCGACCTGGTGACTTCTGCCTCTTGCAAGATTTGCTGTTTCGGGGCCCAACATTCCTCGGAATTGTGCCACAATGTCCCACAATGTCCGCCATGAGCCTCATGTCGGCTGATTGACAGGGCGAGATCAAGATCGAGGCGCAGAACCTCAACAAGCCACTCGGAACACTGAAAGGAGTTCCCTGAGAGGGTAGGGAGCTTCGGTCCGATAGAGGGTTTTCTTCCGGGTATCAGTTGTTTGAGTCTTACCAACTCCCCAGGTATCTCATGTTCGTGCTGCACGACCCCAGTGTCAATCAGTGGCTGAAGGAGCCTGCTCTACAGAAGTTGCGGTCGAGACGAGAGTAGCTTCGCAACTCCTCGCACCAGGATGGTGGCCGAGACTTCGCCTTCGAGCTGCCCAAAGATATCTGCAAGCCAGTAAAACCATCGCAGCCGGCGCCGACACAGGTGGCTGCGAATACCCGTAGCTAGCTGCTAGCCCCTGCGAAAGCCGCTCTCATCAGCTCTCGCACGGTCAAGGCCTTCGAACCGCAGTCGCGGCTTCAGCGGCGAGCCTCCAAGCTGTTCAGCTGGGCGCTCGGCGTTCCGAGAATGTCCGAGAAGGTCTCTTTCCCAGTGTGCTTGGCTCTCGAGGCACCTTCGTGGAGGAAGTACAGTCCCTTGGACGGATGAAGGATGATGAAGGATGCTGAAGAGGTGCCTTAAGTGGGCTCAACCTGACTCTGTATTCTCAGGACAGCCGAGCCCGATGCCAAGAGCACTTCCTGGACTGTGCCTGGAGCTGATGACATCGAGGTGGTGGTCTTGGCCACGGCGGCACTTTGGACAAAGAAGAGCTAAGGCCTCCCCAATGTAAGCTCAGGGCTACTTCTAGGTGCTTTCCTTTTCTTTTGAGCAGCTGCCCTGTTTAGCGAAATAACTGATCCCAGGCAGAGACCGGGTGTTCCGTACATCTGCTGGTTTCTGCTCGGACGGCGCTGGTTGTACAGCCATGGTCTCAGCTGTCAGCGCACGCTCGATTGCTCATTCATATGGGGTTTACCAGTTGTCATGGGCTAGTGCAGACGAGCCTTGATGGACCAATTCAAGTAGAATGGGTCGAAACTAGACGTTGTGTACTGTATGCGCTCAAACACATCCCTCGCACCCGTGGCCCTGTGCTTCTAGAGGCTGCTCGGATGGCACACATCGCATGCTGCCACATGAGAGGTTATTCTCATGCCTGTCGCTCGCCTCATGACTCAACACTCCTCCTTGCACAAGCCTTCCTGCAAAGAAAGATGCGGAAACTGACATCCAACGAGTCAACTTGGTGGTCCGGCTTGCGCTCAGCGGTTGTCGCACGCCCTGCTCCGCCATCGCCGTGTGAGTTGGGCGTGAATGGGTTTGGTGTGGCTGCAGCGGATGGTGCTTCAAAACTGCATTGGCGCTACCATAGTCACCAGCGTGACACACCCGCGCACTCGCATGCTCTCTGCTTAAGATGCCATCACCGTGGCACCAAAGACGAATCATCTTGACTTAAATTTAGCGCTACGCGCACCCGCCTCGGCTGCCAGCGGCGAGGTAACCCAAACCGGAGATCGCGGGTGTGAAGGTGCTGCTAGGCTTCCGCCTTTAAGGAGAGGCTTTGTGCAATGATTCCCTTTGGGGGATCCTGTTGTAACGCGCAGGCTCATGCACAGATTAGACCGGTAAAACCGGCAAGCAGGACGGGTAGAGGTGAGGGGACCAGAGGGACGAGCAGTAGGGAGGGGTGGTGGGGGTCGGGCCAGAGGGGGGGGGGGTAGGGAACTTCATACACCGTCCACTCCCGGCGCAACTGGGGAAGGGATTTGAATGGGTTTGAGGTGGGGTACCTGCTTTATGCTACCCATACACCGACGGCCCGAGGCCTCGCCGGCTTCTGAAGGCAAGCAACCACAAAAAGCTTGTTCTGCTTCTAGTTGTTCTGGACCGTGACAAGCTGTCTTACAGCCTAGGGCTTTCCAGGGATGGACCGCCGCATGTTCGGTGCTTTGTGCTTGTACTCCCTCAAGCATCCTGAAGTAAGCCCAGTTGAAGACCCCTCAGACACAGAAGCCATGAATCCGGGCTGAGTCAATCCTCGGTGCTTTGCCCTCTAAGGTATGGATTGGCCGGACAGGACCGCGCATGGAAATTCTCCAAGCGCGTGGAGCTTGTTCGGGCTGGCACAGACAAATGGGAGGCAACGCGATGTTATGATCACTCGTAGGGCGCTGAACGCTTGGACACAGGTAGCTGTTCAGCGCCACGCTCTAAGTGTCGTTACAGCGCCTAGAGATGCATGAAGCAATGTAGTGGCATGCTACTTGTTTGTGCCGGTCGGGGGCTACCCGTTGCATTTTGCTGTGACGTTGCGATGATTGGATGCAGCGTAAGTAAGGAACAGAACATAAGAGGCATTTTGAGATACTCTTCATGCCTCGTTCGGGCGATCTTGCAATCCTGGTGAAGGTTTCTTTCGAAGTGCCAGTACAAGACATGCAGAAGCTCTTGATGTTTGCCGCTTGGCCGGTGATGAGCCGTAGACACTCTGGGTATTGCAGCCGTACGAGGTGGCAACTGAACCTTGCCAAGCCTTGCCTCGTCACCTTCAGGTCCTCCACGATGGCGCCGCGAATCGGTGGATCAAGCATGGCCGCCGGGCCTCATTCAGGATGCGCTGAGGATTACCTCGTGCCGGAACGTCGTTTACGGGGGAGGTGGAATTTAGAATAGATTCCCTTCTCTCCTTCAAGGGAAGTCAATGTTTAGAGTCTCTAGTTTCGAATAATGAAATCCAAAGAGCAAAACAAGATTCGAGATCCCTTCTCTCTCATCTTCAAGATGAATTAATGTTTAGAGTCCCCCCTTAAGCTCCCCCTTAAGCCCCCGCTTAAGCCCCCCTTTAAGCCGCCCCCCTTTAAGCCCCCCTTTTAAGCCCCCCTTCAAGCCCTTTGAGTTAAGCCTCCCTTCAAGCCCCCTTTAAGCCCTTCAAGCCCTTTAAGCTTAGAACACAGGAAGCCAAGCATAATAACAGACTGTTCGACCAAGGGCCTCACGACTTCGAGTTCGAGATGCCACGCCATGAGGACTACGGCAAATCGGATTCTGTCAGGATTTGTTGGGCACCTCTAGTGTGGATGGCTTGTGCCTCCTCTTCATTCTCGTGTTCGTGACCTGCCAAGAAAGTGCTGCAAGAAAGGCGTAGCGCGCCTTATCTATTGGAAAATAGATCCGCCTTCTTCTAAGATTCTCTAGGTATAGTTTATTTGGCGGTGAGGGTCCCAAGTCGTGCACCCCACGTGGTTCTGTCCCTGCCCCTCGAGGAGTGGGATCGAGTCCAGCGTGAGGCAGAGGCACTCCATTCCAGCATTGTCACAGCGAAGAATCCAAGAAGATGTGTCCCCTCACTTCACATGACATGTTGGAGTCCAGGCGAAGAGCGCAGAGGAGGCAAGAATCGTCATGGCAGCCAAGAGCAAGTTCATGGAGGCAGGCCCGACTGCCTAAGCCCCCGACTCTTATACTTGTAGCTCGGGATTTGGTTTTTCAAACGTGCAATCTGTGAACGGAGAGCTGAGAGTTTTCAGAGCTCCGCAAAGCTCCGCAGGGCCGGCGAGCTCGTGAGTCGAAAGCGGACATCTCCTTCACTCCTTTCGAGCTTCAAGGAGCGGGCAACACCGTAACCGGGGGGGGGATGTGGGCTGGAGCAGGGCGCAAAGGGTGGCATGCCCCAAGCAATAGACTATGGTTGAGGTCACAAGGCGTTGGGTGTACATGCTTATGTGGAGCGCCTCGCTCGCTCCGGTGCCGCATTCTGCATGTTGTGTGACTGTTCAGTGCGATGCCGCAAAAACGAGCTGGAAATGAATGTGGAGGCACATGCAACTACAATATCATTCTGGACGCATCTGTCACCACGGTCCTGCCTACTATACGGGCTCAGTGGCCCTGAGTGGCCCTGGCCTGGTTCATCTCTTGGGTGAAGCTTCACCCGAATCACACGTCGTGATTCGGCGAGAGACTGCCTGTTCATGGACACAAAGCGATGCTCTTTGGGTTTTTCCCTGAGCGCTGCGGTCTCAAAGGCGCACTTGAACGCGTTGAAAGTGGAGTAGTTTAGGGGTCGACGGACGCAGGGCTTGCGGTCTCAGACGGCAACCAGGCCTTTGCATAAGCGAAAACCCTCTGCAGTTTGAGGAGGCCTCTAGCTTGCCCTAGCTTGCCATGGCTTGCCATAGATTGCCGTTTGTGTTGGGCGTGTTGAAAACAGGCAACTCAGCGGACAAATGCGGATGAATACAAGTGCTTGTCAAAAGCTGACTGTGACTATGCTCATGCTCGGGAAAGTACTTCTGGAATGCTGGTTTTCACACCCAAACCCAAGCTCAAGCCCAAGGCAGACACCGCGTTCGGAACGCTTCAGCAAACACCTTGTGCAAACGGGTTTGAAAAGTTCAAGCTGCCTGCTCTGCCTCGTCGCCTGCTTGTGCTTGCCGGGTGCGCGGCACATCCTTGAGACAAGAGGTCCGGGTGGAAGGCACGCAACAGACGCTAAACCCTAAAGCCTAAGCCCTAAACCTTAAACCCCTAACCCTATACCCTTTCGTGGGACGCAGGAGACTTTGGCTCCTTGGACGTCGCCTGCATCTCTGAGGGCGACTCCCGCGCAAAGGCTCGCAACTGGCAGCTCACAAAACCGCTCAAATCTTTCAGCCGTATCATACCGTTATACCCGGCCGTGGTGCAAATCTCAGACGCGCATGTCTCTCCTGTCTCTTCTTTCTGTCTGCTGGTCGATTATGGGAGGTCCAGATCCGGGCCTGGCTTCACCCCCGGCTTGGGGAGTGCATGTTGCACTTTGGAATATTCGAGAAGCCGCAGTCTCGACACTGGACTTCTGCAACTTTCCTGATTCAGGAGAGGGAGAGCTTAGTTTCTCAGAGAGAGGGCAGTGCTACGAAAGGGAAAGGAGACTTGCTGAGTGAGCTGCATCATGAGGCCACCCAGATTCAAGCCGCGGAGTTTCCATCGGACTTGCGCAAAGTCGACGAAAAGGCTCCGCGGGGGTGTCGGGAAGGTGCAGGAAGTGCAGGGAAGTGGTCTCGAACACGGTTGCACGGTTGCAGGCATGCCAGATCACTCTCCAAAAAATGGAGGGGGGCATCCATGGCCTGGACTTCGCCGTGACGGCCCACACAGAAAAGGATGGTAACGAGACCATTCATGAGCCAGACATCGGGGGTTGCCTGGCAGAAGCTTACGGTGTGTTCACGTCTCGACAGTTTGTTTTTGTATTTTCTCGTCTTTTTTGGGGTTCAGGCTCAGGATTTGTCGGGGTTTCCCCCGACTGCTCATGCGCTTCACATTCCCGAGTTTGTACAGGCCTTGGCTTCGTGCTGAAAACAGTGAACAACAACATCTGGATCAAGCCGACAGCCGCTTGCCTCGCAAATGCCTCTCACGGCCGTCTCGGCATCGACCGCCTTTCAAGTTAAGAGGGGAGGTTGCCAGCTGATGCTGCGCTGAAACCCAGAGCCGTGAGGAGCAGCAAGCAAACGGCGACTGTTGTTGAAGAACCCGTTGCATGATTAATGGCAGCTGCAATTTGCAGCTAGGCTCACCTGGAAACAGGTTTTCAATGCAGACCTGACTGTCCGGTATGGTCTGTTTTTTTCTTGTGACAGTCCGTGAAACACCTTCAAAAGAAGGACACGGGATGGCCCCTGACAATGCCCCCCCCCGCCCCACGCCCCGCTGCTCAGTACGCGTTGCGCAGGGCCTACTCGTTTGCCAAGTTTGCCAAAAGCATGTTCTCAACATGAGAACAGCTTCAGTGGCATGGTGCACCGGCGCAGGTGTGTGCGAGGTGCGCGAAAGCCATCCTTGCAGGCCCAGGATGCCCCGAAGCTCTCAACCCAAAGCCTTGCCGAGCTGAGGACGGAAACGACGCCACAGTCCGCTTCTCCTCCAAGGGTCGCTGGAAGGGCTCATGGGCTCAGGCTGGGCGAAGACTCGCTCGTAATCGGCGTGGCTGCATGCGATTCTGCGTAGAGTCGTAGAGACGGTGTTACTGGGCCGAGGTGGCAGACAAGATCGTCGAGCAAGAGACGACATGGACGCACATGTCCTTGAAAAGGACTGATTGGTGCAAGGGGCTGGGGAGTTTATGGCGCACGCCGGCCGCACTTCACTTCGACAGCGGGGCAGACTCTGCTGGATGTTTCATGATGTTTCATGATGTTTCCGGATGCTTCCCGTTCTGCCGTGCTTCTGTCGGCATGGCAGCTCAGCAATGCTTGCGTGCTTGAGGAGATACGAGAACTGCCTCGAGTTCCTGGACACTTGGGAGAAGGTGTCGCAAGGCATTCAGATGCGACGCTTGCAGTCATGGACAACCCTCGTCCACGTGGACTCGAGCAAGGCACGCAGAGGAATGGAATGAGTTGCTAGTATCTGGGAGGCTAGCTCTAACAGCATTAATCAGAGCAGTGAGAATGGGTCAGCTCAGTACCCATCAACCCATGGAATCCTTGTCTGTCGATCAACTATGGATCTGTGCTTAAAGGATTTATCAAGGCCTCTTTTTTCTGTATGTCCGACTTTACCGAGCTGTGTATCATCAGCGGCTCGCATGCCAATTTCAGTTGCCAAGAATGGCGGGGGTTGCAGGCCGTGTGGTCCCGCACGCCTTCAATGCCCTTGATTGAGATGTCGAGTGACGAAGAGACACTTGTTTGCAGAGCGATCTCGTAAAATCGGTGCAGAGAAAAGCCTTGAAAAGACACCTCTCCTCCATCAACTTGGCCGCAAGGAACAACGAGGAGTTCTGGAGCTGGATCTTTGTGTGGCAGCGCCTTTCTTTCCAGCAACTGTTGACCTGGGAGCGAAACACTTGCACGCAACCCAGAGCCTCAGCAAAACTAGCAACCCCCAGTGAGTCAGGCGAGTGCGGAGCCTGCATTCTCAACCCAATTGAAGATGCAAAGTAGCAGCAGGCGCTCAGTAGCCAGCAGGGCAGTGGTCAGCAGTAGCCACATGCGAGTTGAGGCACGACGACAGTCGGCATAAGCAATGCCTTGAAGATTTCACTTGCTTTCATACTGTGGCAGCATGAGGAATGCTGGCAGCCACAACGAATCAGATCACGCAGCGTCTTGCTTTTCGGACGCACCAGGAAGTGTGGCATAACCAATAGCCCAAGCCGGCCAGCAATGCTATGGTTCCTTACTAGAGGAGTCTTCTCTCAACATCAGCGCAACAGACACCCAATGTCCCTCGCAGCCACAAGCTACAGACAGCTCCCAAGCAAGACTCCCCGGCCCTTTTAAACTCAGAGACCTCAACGAATCTGAAGGCTGAGCTCTGGAAGTCCACCCCCAGCTGTCGGCTCTGGATTCGCTGGACGCTTTCCACGATGGGGCGCGGTGGGTCCGCTGGTCAGCAGATCCGCGATGAGATCCTGGCGTCTTGGCTTGTAGAGGGCCGACATCCGTAGACAGCCTGGCTTCTACAGGTACTTCAGTTGCTGGCTGTGTTTTGCAGCATTCTGGGTAAGGTCATCATGCATGCTCACGGCATCAAGGAGCACGGCGCTGTGGAAAGCCACTGCGGGCTCAGTGTTGAGCACCGACCCTCTCTATTTCACCTCCCTAACTTGGCAGGAGATCCACGGAACGTACTACGACGCAGGGCTGCAATGTGGCCGCCAGAACTAGCGAGGCAGTCTCAAAGCTCAGATAATCCATTCGCCGGACTTGCTAAGGAGCAGTGGCATCAGAAGTTGCACAACAACACCACTCCAGCAGACATTGGAATTTGTCGTGCCATCATCGCTTACCTCAAGAGTGGTGGCGACGTGGGCGTTTACTGGAAGGTCTTAGGGGAGCACAATATCACCAAGGAGCCCAAGGGAGCGACGCAGCGTCGGTTTCGTCCTATCTGCCCGGCATTTTTGTTTTTGAACTTCTTAGCCGCGTTGCGTGTGGGAAGAGGGGAAGAGGTGTGGGGCTCTGAATGGAGAGGAGCACCTGCACTCGTACAGCCGGCCGATCACGACGGAGCCGTACATGGTCCACACAGACGTCGGCCGCCTCATCGGCGACTTCGAGAGGTGCCTACACATGCCTACACGCATATGACTGGTAGGTGAAAGCGGCCTTGAACTGCACGTCTGCACGTCGCAGCTATTGCTCACTCAGAGTGCGCCCAGGTATCTTGGCATTCTGCGAAGTGTGCATGATGCCCTGGACTTGCAGCTTGCGGCGTGGCGAGAAATAATCACCGGGGGAGAGGAGGAGAAGGAATGTTCGGGCCTATGAAGAGAGCTGCCGAGATTGGTGGTTGGGTTGTTGGGTCCTGTTGGATATCAGGACCTGCCATTCTCTTGACTGTTCTTCGCATTGCTCTTCAGGCAGTCGACCATGCCAAGCACTGCTTGCCCGGCAATCTGCAAGGCCATCAAGCCCTTCAGCGAAGTAGATGTCCGAACGTTTCTCTGCTTATTTTTGTTGACACTTATAGTCTCTTGGTCGCGCTTCCAGGTCCAAGCCGCATGCACGTCAGAATCACCGTCTCACCCGGCTGTTGCAGGTAAATTGTACGATCTGTGCAACATGGGCGGCACTGGCTTCAACAATTTGGATGAAGGCCATACGGACGGAACTGCAAGCAGCTGTGTGCCGTTGCCACAAGCTTCAGAGAAACCTCTTGTTGTAGCAGTTTGCTTATTTTGCTTTCCCCCCCCCCGCAGAGGCCACAACAAGTTCATGCGCATTGCGGGTGTGAGGGACGAACTGCTCGCAATTTTGAATGGCAAGGCCGGTGTTTGTGAGTATGTTTTTCCCTCGGAACAATCCCAGCTGGCATCTTGAGAGGGAACGGATGCTGGAGTGATCAAGCAGCTCCTGGTGATCGACTACACACTGGAGACGCAGCAGTGCCCAAGCTCCAGCAAGCTCCAGGGCTTTGCAGAGTTAACTCGATAAGGCCATGGATGTGTTTCTTCCTGTAGGAGAGTTGTAGGAGCCTACTCGTAGCACCTTGCTATAGCAGCATGTCGGAGTCATGTTGATCATGTGGAAACCCTGCATTCCGACATGTAAATTAGTGGGCAGCGGGGAGAGCGAAGAGATACAACGATCAATTTGTCCGCTACGATTGGCTGAGATGCGTCTCCACTGCAGCCTCATACTCCGAACCGGTTGCGCCAACTTGCCAGCTCAGGAGCGTTCTGGTGCAGGGCCTGACAAGCGAGGTTCGACTTCCGCAGCTGGTTGACCAGATGCGAGCTTTGCTGACGGCGCTCGTCGGCCATTTGCCCCAGGAGATGCAAAGTTGGCCCTGGCCCTCACCCTCTTTCTTCTCGCCAGCCCCCCCCAAACCTTTGAGAACCCAGGGCTTGCAAGGCAAGTGTGTCTGCAGGAGGACGAGCTTCAGGCCCTCCTGGCAGATTGGAACTCCTTCGCCCAGAACTGTGCCTCTCAGCGCACGGAGGACGGAGCCCTCCTCCTGAAGGCCGATGTCAAGAACAAAGTTTGGTGTACTCAGGGTTGAGGTGAAGTTTCGGTGTACTTGGTTAGGTGTCAGAGCCAGGGTAGAGACTGTCGCTGCTCCCCGAAATCCCCCCTGAAACTCTGTGGTGTTGGATGCCTTCTCGGACAGGCCCTTACCGACCGCATCAGCCGAGTGGTTGGCGAGCTGTCGGACAAATGCCAGACAATGATGGGCCGATTGTCAGCACTGGCATGATGCTGGCATGTGGTGTTTTTGGATGAGAGCATCCGGCACAACAAAACCCTAAAGTCTAAATGGTGAGCCGTGACAGCGCCTTGAGGCCCGAAGGTCGCATTTCTCGGTGAAGCCGCGGACATCCCAAAGAAGAACATCGACGTCTTCGTGGACGAGGCGATGCAGTAACTTCATGGGCCATCATCTGCCAACAGAATCAGAGCGTATCAGCCTATGCACGTCTGCGCAGGTGCTGCGTGGCACGTCTCTAATGGCTTGTGCCTGAGAGCATGGAGGTGTTGATGTGCTGTTGCATGCTGTTGCGGTCTGCAGTCTCTTGCAACGCAGTTGTTTGCCACATTGTCTTGCCCTCTGAGACTTTAAAGACAAATAGAGTTGGTAGCTCCTATGACCAGGCCAGAAACAACACTACCAACCGACAGGAGTGTTCACGACCGCCTAAAAACGCCTCCGCCCATACCTAGGGTCATGTTGCTCTCATACGAGGCCGTGAGTCTGATTTTGCAGCGGGTGGAACCAGTGCTGCGGGACATCGCCCACCTGCTGCTTGCTACGAATCCATCTGAAGCTTGCAATGATCGGATGGTTTGAGCATGGGTCCTTGAACTACGTAGGATCGTGTTGAGGCCACCTTGGCAGATGATCTCGCCTGTGGACAAGCCCATTCAGGCAGGTGGCTCGGAAGTCGCTGCGTTGGCTCTCGGGAGCCATGAGAAAGCTTGTCTCGGCAAGTCAAGCGTCAAGAGAGCCCTCCTCTGAGCAATGGCGCATCGTTTGTCAAAATGCACTAGGGCGTCTTCAAGCTCATCGACAAGATGATGGGAGTCCAGGGCGAGATCTTCCACACACCGACCATTCTTCTGAGCGGGGCCGTGAGCGGCGAGGAGGAGGCATCGCCGGGAAGAATGGTCATATACAAGGAATGGGTGTTATGATATTATAGAATTATGGCCATTATGGTATTCGGCTATTGTCATGCTGCAGCTCCCTGAGGTCCCAGATGGAGTTCTCGGAGTCCTGGTGCGGAGTGCGAAGGCGCTGCTGGTGAATGCAACGCCCATGTCCACTGCGGATCCACGTACGGTCACTACGCCGGTTTCAGATGTTGAGCCGTGGAGAATCAGGGGCTCTGACTTGCTTGGTCCATCTTGCGAGGTACTGTTTTCAAGCAAGTCAAGAGTAATCATTGTCATTCTGCCATTTAGGGCAGGAATGGGCTCCTAGCCACCTAGTCACATCTGGTCACACCCGCGTTGCGAAGCCTCCCAAGAAGCCCTCAGTGACAAGGCTTGTTCCCTTGCCAGGAGGCACCTGACATCCTTTCACACTGTGCTGTCCGTGCGAGAAACTTTGGCGTGCTTCTTGCAACGTGCTGCTCGGGGCAGTTTAGAGATTGCGCCTTCGGATTTCGGTTTTGAAGTTTGGCACTGGCTGTGTCTAGACACTCCCACTGTCTCTGCGGCAGAGCACCGAAGCTCCGAGCGGACAAGTCTGCAGGTTCCTAGCGGCGGACAGCCCTAAGGCGTCGGTAGGAGCCTTCAGCCATAGGAATGTGTCTCTGCCGACTCGCTGTGGCCCCAGGCTTCGATCCGAAGATTTCGGAGAAGCTCGCTTCCGACTTTGCAGACAAGTGGGTGGAAGTAAGGCCCTGTAACGCCCAGTAAGCTTCGAAGACGGTTTGTCCAGCATGACTGCATTGCGACATCTTCGTGATGTGCGGAGTCGGGAAAACTGATCTACAGATGTTTGCGGTCTTTAGTATGATGATTCGATTCTTCTGTGTATCGGGTGAGAAAAAAAGGCGGCTGGACAGTAACAAAATTAAGAACAGCCACCCATACCCCAGATGCAAATCCTGCAGGTGCAAGCCCGACGGCAGCCTGACCATCGCAGAGGCCAGTCATCTCCGGACAGTCCCGTGTTCTGAGACGCCCAGGTACCCAAAAGAGCTGAATCGGATACTCTTGTTCTCAGTGCTATCAATATGACGGCCACTTCTGCTTCTCTTGCTGTACTACGTGGGCGCATGTAAGTTTAATTAATTGAATGATTGGCTTCACAAGGCCGAGAGGCCAACGTCAACGGCGGAGGAGGACACTGCGAAGGCCGAAGCTGATGCGGCCAAGGCAGAGCGGGGGAAGAAGGCCCCAAACAGTAGTGGAGAAATTGGAGAGAATTTCGCAGAAACTCGGATCCGATGAGTCCCCAGGAATTCGAGGGAATCCTGGAATAGGACGACCAGGGAGGGTTTTGAAAGGGGATGCAAGAGCCCAGCAAGAATGCTTTCGAGTGGGGCACGCTCGCATGCCCTTCTGGTATGGACGAATCTTGGTTGGCGGATTGCACTTGCCCAGGTAGCCCAGGCCGAGGTCAAGATGAATCTTACCAACGACTTAGGATGCTCTTGGCAGCTTGCCTTCAAAGCTCTCCCATGCCCCTGCATTTTTTTGTCCCTTCTTCAATTCAATTCGTAATGTGCAGCTAGAGACCAAGGTGTGTCCGTCCTGATGAGATGACCAGGCGGGAGACGCAGGATAAGCGGGAAATGGCGCATGCCCAGAGCCTGCCGCAGCGTCGAAACCTGCGCTTCGTCTAAGGACGAATGTGGGCTCGAAGAGCCTGAACTTGGCCCTTCTGCGACCGAAGCTACCTCCTGGCATCCTGACACCGCAGGACTGGGGTCTCATGGGGTTGTGTGGGGCCGTGTAGGGCTGTGTAGGGCTGTGTGCAGGGGCAAAAATTGCAGCCATGTTTCTAAGAGCCTTGGGATGCTCTGGTTGTGTTTGCTCACAATGCGCAAGAGGCGGTCGCGTTGCCTTATGGCACCATGCAGACTCTCAGCAGCACTGCAGATGGATCCCACTGCTTCGAGTCCTTGGATGAGTCCTTGTTTGCGCGCGGGGGCGGAGTGTTTCTTCTGCTGTGTGACGCTTCTGGCCCTTCTATGCACGATGCAACCGTTTAGTCGAAGTAGTCGGAGTGACGGTGCCACATGGTGTCACATCTGCCATTACCTCGTGGGGGCAGCGTAATCTTTCAGCGCCTGCGTCACCGCCTGCGTCAGTGCCTGTTAAACTGCTACAAGGAAGTCCCTGACGGACGACTCCAACAAGGATGTCCTGCCAATGTTGGAAAAGGTCTTAAATCGACTGCAGCCATCTACCTCGAACGACGAGGTCCCTCAGCTCAGACAGCTCAGAAAGCGGGTGGCATCGCCATAGGAGGACTGTCTGCCGCTTTCGAGGCGCAAGTTATCTTCGAGGAAGCTCAGCAGTTGGTGGAGTCCATGCGCTTCCCCAAGGCACAGAACCTCCACATGGATTAAAGGCTTTTTGGTATATGTGAGGTCAGCATGATGGGTGGTAGTGAGGGCAGTGCTAAGGAGGGCTAAGGAGGGCTGAGGAGGCCAGGGTGCAACTTGAGAGGCGCTGAAGGAATCGCTCAACGCCGCGATGAAGGAAGTGGCCGACCGAGATGGCGAGGATCGGCTTGCAAAGTTGCTGCTCGGCCTCTGTTTCAAGATGTTTCGACTCAGGGCTCGCAACTGGCTCAATGGGAGTCAAAGCTTTGACGAAATACTCCGCGCTGGAACTGTATGCCACTGTATATTTAGCCATGTGAGAGACTGAGGTTCAAAGAGCGCGATGCCTGGCAGGCCATCAAAGGCCCGCTTGGCACAGTTCCAGCCGCAGCACGCATCATCAAAAACACTCAGCACGTGGAACCCAAGAGGAGCTCAACGAAGCTGACTTCTCTGCACAGGTGTTTGGTCCTCACTGTTTGCGCTGCGACCATGGGTGTCCTTGGCAAAGGCACTGTCTTGAACTCCAATCTCGTTGAGGATCAGCCAGCTCGTTCTTCCTGTGGGCTGCTAAGTTAGGTGGCTGGGCTTGGCAGGTTCAAAAGTTTGAATTGGGTGGGGACAGGGCTGCCAGAATTATCTGCCTGCAGGTCGGCAGTTCCAGGTTGTGCCCTAAGCTCGAAACCCTAAATCCTGCATACTTGGATCACTCGAATCCTAAGCTTGAGGAGATCTGGTTGAGAAACCCAGTCGTATCCCAAGCACGCCCCCGTCGGTTTCCCCTGAAGTAGTCACTTGGCTTAGCAGTTTTTTGAAAAGACCCTGCAATCAACCAGTTAGCGCTGCGAGGCCCGCCTAGGCCGGGGCCTGTTCAGGCGCGTTCAACGAAGTAGGAGCAGGGAAAAGAAGGGGGCGGCAGGCCCGGGGGCAGTGGTGGGATGGAAGGGGGGAGGGGGGAGGGGAGGGTATTAGAGGTGGGGTACCTGCTTCGTGCTCCATAGGCTGGGTGCTTCTGCAAACTGTTGAGCTCAGTGAATACTTGTGCCTTTCGCCCACTTCGCTCTTGCAACGAGCTCCTGTAGTTAACCAAAGGTTCGATATGCAAATAATTGGCAGCCAGAGTAGCAACATGGAAGGCCGGCCGTAGTTTCCACGACCTGAACATGGCTGTGCTGGTCCAGGAGTCTTGTCACAATGATTTACGGTGCAGTTCTGTTAAACTGGCTGTGGCTTTGTCTGTCTTGATTGCCATCGAGGGGATCAGAGACGAAATGTTTGAATGTTCGAGGTTATGATGTCAAGCTTATTGTCACAGTATGCCAGGGCACACGCGTACTTGTTTCTTTCAGTTTCTTCAACACATCAATCGATAAGTTCGCTGGTGTCGAACAAGCAAGTGCAGCCCAGCTCCCATCCCTGAGCTGCTAAATACAGGAGTTGGTCGAGGCGAAGTATGCCTTCGTGCTGCACACCGTGAACCCATTCACGAAGGCCAGCCGCCAACCGGACGGTTCTGGATGAATCAGAACCAGAGCAAGAGGAATTATGTACTGGCGTCAGATCCAAGCATTTGCTTGAACAAACCGCAATGGCTTCTTCAGACACATGAATTAGAACATCTTCCCTAGACGGAACCAGTTGTGAGTGCGGTAACCCGTCGAAGTCGTCAAAGCACATCAGGACAAAGAGGAGCTGTATGGAGAGATCGTGGCCGGAAGAGGTGAGACGTTGGCCCCTCGGCGTGGTCAAAGTTAAGTCAAAGGTTTTGCCACATACGAAATGGCCGTGTGTGTGTGTGTATGTGTGTGTGTGTTTGCAAGCCACAAAGGCCAGCAATTGCGAGCAGCTCATCCGAAGTCAATCAAACGCAAGATTCAGTTTTTTGTGTTTATATATATTCACAAATATAGTGCTTATCGACCTTATCTGTTTACTTATCCGTCCATCTGTTCAATTAGATGATTAGATGTGTGTAGATGTATGCTGTGGCCGAAGGTTCGGCTGCATGTTGGCACAGGCTAACGTTCAGAGGCGTAGGCGTAGGCTTTCAAGATTTCTGCTGCTTTCCGCTCACCCCACTGAGGTGGGAAACTTTCCTGGCCGTGCCTTAAGCTTTGCGGTGCGACGCGGGGGTGGCCAGCCGCGGGTTCTATCATACCCAAGCAAGAGCGCAGCTGGAATGCAACAGAAAGCATTCGTACATCTTCGGATCGTGGAATAGCTAGAGAATGTGGCTGTGGGTAAGGTGCTCCTGTAGAACGTTGTAGAACAAAGGCCGCTCCAGCTCAAAAATCTGAAGCTTATGGATTCACGGGGGTCTGAGCTTCCCGGGGTTCGTCGTTAACGTGAGTGCAAAAGCACTCAGTGGTTTTCGAGGCGGGGCTTAAGTAGGGATCTAGGAGTCTAGGAGTCTAGGGGGTTAGAGGGGCTTTAAGTGCTTGGTATCCTGATATGGGTCGGTTGGTTCAAGGCCGCTTTGCTTTCGCCCCGACTCTGCGGCTGTGAGGTAGCTCTGCACACCCAGCACTGCTTGATCTTCCGATCCGACAGAGCCCTGCCTGAACATATGGGGGTTTCCGAAATTTGGGGTACCTTTTTGGGGTCCTTATGATAAGAGAATCCTACTTATTTGGGGGACTCTATTGGGGGTCCCTTATGTTCGTAAATCCCCATATGCAGCAGGCATGTCGAAGCTGGCCAGCTGATTGGCTTCCAGTGCTCTTGCCTCTTCTTAGATGCACGAAAGACCCAAAACGGCTTGAGAACCGGCGGCCTCTTACGACACATGGGCATACCAAACCAAACTAGCAGATTCGCATGCTTGTCCCTGCTGTAGCCACATCATATTTATGCGACTGATGCAAACATGTCCTGGATCCGTTCACATGCTGCTTGAAACGGTTGAGAAGTTGATCTCAGATCATGTCTTGCTTTTCGCACGGTGGCTTCAACAGCGAGCCAATGTCAAGTCGGAGCTCTGAGGCAACGGCGAGGATCTCGAAGGCTTTGCAGGGGCCGGACTCTTCGAATCCGTCTGCGCAGAGGAGGCGCAGTCTGCTTCATTCTTGCAGCATTGCAGGCTCTCCAGTCTCTTGATGGAGTCTTGAGATGTCTGCACTGGCTCACGCGTAAAAGAGGCTTTAGGCAGGCTTCTGCAGGCCTTCTTCTGCACATCGATGCAGCGAGTATCTAGAGCCGCGCAGCCTCCCATCAGGATAAAGAAGGATTTCAGCGTCTTCATCGCCGCTGGTCATTGACATGGTGCAAGAATACTCTGCAGGGAAAGCTCTGCAACCCGATCCGAAGGATACACATGGAACTTACAATGTTTTCGCTGAGGCTTGGGCATTGTTGCGGATGCCAACTACAGAACAGACCTGCTCAAGCGCATCGCAGAGGCTGGGATTCGTCACTACCAGCTTACCAGCTGCTTCAGTCTTTATCGTCGCATTCTCCCCCGGAAAGTCTACACATACAGAAGTGCAGGCTACGTGAAATCTCATGCAGTAGCCAATGGTCTGTACCCTTTCTACCGAAGGTTTCATTGGGCGAAACTGGCAAAGCAGTGTCAGGTCGGTTGGGCCACCGAGAAGGCTTTTGACGGAGCGCCGCAGGCAAGCATTTCAACCCTAGAAAGCGTGTTCTAGGCAGCAAGAGTATTTCATGGGCCGAAGTCTAGACCAAACCCGTGACGGCGCACGTATCGTGGGATCACGGCCTGCTCTTCTTTCATGATCTTGGGCGCCCTGGTGCTTTGAGAGGGTTCAGCGGAGCTCGCTGAGAGCTTCGCTTTCAGTAGTTTAGAGGAATGCCCTGTGCGTTCGCCGTCAGACTTGCACTGTGCTCCGCAGGACATCGAAGGCTGTGTCGATGTCAGAGAACGCATCTTTATTGTACAGAGCCGGCCCCAGGTGTAGGGCCGTAGGAGGCAGAGAGAGAGCCGACCAGTGCCGAAGCCTTTGTGCACAGATGTCCCACTTTGGTTCGACAGTTCAACGCGCTACGAACGCTACGGCCGCCTCGGCCGCGAGGGTGCTGCAAATGCTTTGGGATTTTGCTCCATCGATTTCACCAGATTGATTGTGAAGCTCAGACCGTTTCAAGCAAGTTGAAAACAAGGCGAAACCAGTGGCATCGAAACTTCTTGACTGGCTGCAAGTGTGCGAGTGCCACCGACATCAATCAGACATTCTCGTGGCGTTGGTTCGTGTGAGCGGTTCTGGACAGACGTAGCCAAAACATACTACACTCCAAACCCCAATCATCTCGAGACCCGAAGCACATCCGCCATGGAGCCCACGCCGAGTGAGCAGCGGGAGGAGGAGGTTGAGGAGGAGGTGGAGAAGGAATCTGAGGAAGTCTCCGATGGCTGTGACGAGAGCGACCAGGTGGGGTGCATGAAATGGACGAGCTTATTTCCAGTTATCGTCTTCAGAGGTGATGGAGGTGTGGGATAATAGCTGTGCAGCTTTGACGCCGGGTGACTTGTACGCCAACATTTGTAGCGCCCTGTGCTGCGGTCTTGATTGTGCCTCCTCGGAGGAGTCCCTCGGCGACGACGACCGCGACTTCGATTTTGGAGGTCATACGGCTCAAAAAGACTTGCAAGGCCTCATGCTCACGGAGGGAACGTACGTGCGGTGCAATTGGATTGACCCGGAAGAGGAGGAGAAGCGGGTGAACACCTGGCAGAAAGACAAGAAAGCCAAAGTCGATCCAGAGAGTGAGGAGACTGCCCTCACGGGGCTCCAAGCTGCTGCAAGCACTTGCACACATTTTCAGCTCAGAGGGCCACGTTACCCGGAGAGGTGGCAGGAAACGAAGGAACAGGAAGCTTCGCAGAAGGCATTCCGCATCATGCGTGCAATCTCAGATTCCCTGATTAACCGGCTTATGGTGCTGCGTATCGACAACTTTCCCGGCTCTGGTGACCCCGTTTTCGGCACGAAGCACGAGCTTCGCAGGAGCTTGCGGGCCCCCGACCTCTTCGGAAAGCTCACCACCGCCTTCCAGGCTGGCACCCGCTGCTGTCTAAAGAGAGTAACTTTGCAGGGCGGCTTCCACTCAGCCGCGTCTGTGGCCAACTTCCTGCGTGTGGCCAAGCCACCGCTCGAGTCCTTCCGCTGCCGGGGATGCCTCTTTCACGGGCGCAACTTCGAGATGCTGGTGAAGGCCTTGAGCGGGGCATGCGCAGGAACCCTCCTGGAGTTTGAGACCGATGCAGCCATCGGGGGCCGGGATCCCTTTGGCTTCCTCGCTGACTCCTTCCCGCAACTGAGGATGCTTCGGGCCAAGTGTGTGTTTGGGAAAACGGAGAACCTCGAAGCCCTGAAGCGGCTGAACCTCAAGAAGAAGCTGTGTAAGCTGCCAAAGGAGGACCACAGGCTGCGAGGCCGACCGGCCGTGAATACCAAACGAGGCGTCGTCTACTGGTTTATCTCATCGGACCATCACGATGACGGCTATAGGGGACAAGGCTTGTGGTGGGACGAGCTAGACAACACGTGTGAGTGCATGGAGGAGTGGCGTGTTGGCAAGGGTGTGACCCAGAAGAAGTGTCTAACGTTCATGGAAGAGTGCGGCATTGATCTCGACCCACAGCTGAGCGACGAAGACTGCGGAATGGATTCGGACACTGGGAGTGCAGACTCGGTCCCAGACGGTGAGCAGGACATCGTTTGGAACAGACTGGTGACTGGTGTACCTCACACATCCCTGTTAAGCTTGAAGGAATGGATCTGACCTGAAGCATCTTGAGTATTCCTCCATACAATCAGGTGACATGTGAAATGAAACCAAACTTGGTTTTGGAATCTGAGTCTAGTTGTCTATGCAGCCTCCTTGCAGGACACAGTCGTGGTACAGCTAGAAGTGGATGACTCCACAAGCTCCACTGTGGCTATCAGGGCACGCACAATGGATGGTCGGCAGTTTGCACAGGTAACGGTGGACACAGGCACTACACTGATGCGGACGCTTCTGGAAGAACTGGCCTCGAAGTATCCCTGCTCGCCCCTTTCAATGCGCCTGGTACTTCCGAATGGTTCCTGCACTGATGCGCTCGCGAGCAGCACCCAACCCTTGGGTGCAATACTGAAAGGCGCTTGAAGGGCAAGGAAGATATATACGTAAAATCCCAAGCAAAAGTAGGGCGGCATGGGATTCTTGCAGGAAAAGCCAGTTCCGTGTCCAACTTCATACGATGCCTAGTCAAAGCGTCGTGTTTGTGAACTGAAAACAAAGCTTTTCGGCAGCGCTAGCCGCTAGCCTCATCCCCGCAAGTGTCAGCACTTTTGATGCGTTAAGAACAACAACGACTCCAAAAGTGACGCCAGCTACGAGGATGGCGATCCCCGGGTGCCTCATCCTTGACATTGTCAGCACTTTTAACACACGAACTTAAGTCGAAGCTCAACAAGCGCTGATTCTGGATGGCCTCATCTTCTTGTCAATGGTTTCGAAGGGCTCGGCTCCGTGAGCGAATATTTTATAGGGCTTTTCATGAGTCTGAAAGACGCTTCATTTTATTTTGATAAATTTCTGTCGATACGACAATGTATACGAGGAACTACGACATTGAGACGAAAATAACTCGGGACTTTGGGAGGGGGTTTTCGGATGTCTTCGTCATTTTTAGGGCAGAGATTGCTCTCGTAGAAACGTTTGGGTTGAAATTCGACTACTCGAAATGTACTCTTCATTTGCTCGCGGGTGAATAATTTCGTGGAGATGTATCAGAATTTCAGGCCTTGGGGATCCGAATTGTGATGGATTATGATTTGGTTATCTTCAAGACGCTTATTGCTGGGACTTCCGATTTCTTGGCGTGCTGTATGAAGGATAAATAATGTGAGCTTCAAGAAATTGTCGCAACAGTGCAATAGCTCCTACACAAACATGTTGCTTTCTATATTCTCCAACAATCGTTGAGTTTCGGCCGCGTACAATACTGGGCACGTATTGTGCCACGAGCTTTCATAACTTCTTTTGGGCGTTGGTATCTCCGTATACGGCGGTGGTGATAGGGCGACAATCCCCGAATCCGACTAGTTG